CTTATATGTTTACATGTGCAAATCCATATCCAAGTTCAGACATAAAGCTTGCAATAACTTCCTGCACCCTGGTGCCAATCATACCTCGCTAGACTCCTTGAAAAAACCCTGCCCCCGCCTTCTCGCCCGTAGCCTGTTATTGCGTATCTCTAGTAAACCTCGTTCCCAGCATCCTTTTCTGACTCGTGCTGCGGAAAGTCTTCCCACTAGATCTTCCCTTTCTGTTATCACCATCTGGTTGCCTCCAAACCCCCTTTAACTAACCCCCCAGCGGAAATCCAACACATGCTTCCCTCTGGTGCACCCTCCTTTCCCACTAGACCTTCCCTCTGTGTTATCATCATCGGGTTTTCTCATGCTCCACGCCTGCCTACAAACAGCTTCCCTCTTACGCTTCCCAGGGGTATCTTCTGACTAAATCTTCCATCTCTGTTGCAGCCATCTGGTCTCCTGCCCACCCCCTTAAACTACGGACCGGGCCAAATCGAACTCCACCGGCACCCAATTACATGCGCCTCCAAAACCTCCCAAAAAAAAACAAAAACACGTAGGTATTGGCCTCTTTTGCACGCTCTGCCCCCCGGACCCCCTAAACTCGCTTCCCTCGCAGTAGGAACTTCAGCCAGGCCTACCGGCTGGCGTTCATTATATATATATATATATATATATGAGCAGGGACCCCCACACCCCCCCCCCCCCAGCCAGATGGTTCCCCCCCCCTGTGGCAGGGGAGGGGGGGTTTTCTCAGCAGCCAAGCCATGGTGTATGTAGTCTTTATAGTGCATATAGTGCATATGTATCGATAATTAGAATGGATATACTATATGTAATATAGAGTGTATGTGTAGTGTATATATATATATAAACATATATATAATATGTAAGATATAAATAGAATATATGCAATATATATATATAATATATATATATATATTTGACATATATATATAATATTGAACATATATATATATATATCGTATATGTGGTTTTTGATAGAATATAGATAGTATATGCCACATGTACTGTATCCACAGTAGATTTAATATATACAATATAGGCAAATATGTTCGTTGAATAAGTTTTACATAGTATATGTGGTATATTGAATATTGACAGCAATACACGCTGTATATCTAGAGTTTATATATATATATGTATATATATATATGCATATATATATATATACGTGTACAGTATGTACAATGTAAACGAAATATGTGATAGATACAAGATCAAGACATCAATCTGTAGTATCTAGAATGTGCATATATATATTATATATATATATATTTATTTATTTATTGTTTTTCTACTGTACATATGTCTAGGTTTGCATAGGTAAGCTTTGCGTAATCCATAGGTAGCAAATATGTTGTAAACCATGTGCGAGGCACGCTATAGGCGGTTCGAAAAAAAGGTTATGATAGAAATATACAGGTAGACAAGGTCCGTTGACGAGGTCGTGGCTCTCAAGTGCTGCAAATAACGTAGAGATGCGAGGTTGGAGGGGTGGAAAGGGGAGTATATATGTGTATATGTGTATGTATATGTGCAAATAACATGCAAATACTAGGTTTTGGGGGGGTGGGGGGGGTTAGGAGTGGGGGGGGGGATACCATTGGGGGGGGGGGGGGGGGGGTGTGGGGGTCCGGGGACCGGGCTCATATATATATATATATGTATATATATATAAATAAATAAATGAATATAAATTTAAATACATGTTTATGTGTGTATATATATATGATGTTATGTTTACATGCTGGTGCATAATCAAATCCATCCACAAAGAACCAACCAGGAGGGCCTTCGGAGATGCAGTCAACTTCCTGTCGGCAAGTTTTAAGCTCCTTGCCCAGGATTCATCAGAGCACTCATGCTGGCAACCTTGGTGGCGAAGCTCCAATGAGTACTTGGTGGCTCATCCCACTTAGTAAGTGGGTTATAACCCCAGTTATAAATGGGATAAGTAGGGTTAATCCACTTATAACTGGGGTTATAACCCACTTACTAAGTGGGATGAGCCACCAAGTATCTGCAAAATCCATCAAAATCCTGAAATAAAACATGCTGGAAGAACACTGATCAAATCAAATCGGCAAAAATGAATAAAAAATGATGCATTTCTATGGTTCCGTTCTGGCTCCCGTGTCGTTTCTTTCCGCTCCACCAGGTTCCCCAAGGTCCCCAAGGTCTCCAAACCGCATTTGGGTCCATGCCCGTGAGGCCGGTGAGACCGGTGACACCGGTCAAGCCAGGCATCATTCCTGGCACCATCCCTAAGGCCTCAGTGGGGCTGGGAGGAGTCTGGGCAAACAAATATGTTGGTGATATATTTTTTATCATGTATATATATATACTAGTGTGGCATGATGTAGCTATATACCCAGAGTATACTATAACATATTATAACAGAACAGAACATTGCAAAAATGAAAGATTGTCTAACCATCTTGAACCAAACATTTGGATTTGAGCGACATTTTTTGCAAGTAGTTTGACCAACAAAACCACAAAATATTGCTATTCCACTAGGACATGCGAAAGCAACTAATGAGGATTCAGATTCAATCAACATCAATCAACAAACATTGAGACTTGACCGTTTTCAATCGATTGGTTAAAGGGAAAATCTGCAGGGAAACCTTGGGTTTTACCGTTGAAAAACCCCCAAATAGTGGGGTGTTTCCTCCAGATTTTCCATTGATCCAATCTTGGGACCTGGGACCTCAAACCAGGGGGAGGACACATAAAACCAGGGGAAATGGAGGATTTCGCCTCCAATCCAACCTGGCTTATGAAACACTTATGAAACATAGGCTTAAATGAATTCAAATGAATTCAAATGAATTCAAATGAATTCAAATGAATTCAAATGAATTCAAATGAATTCAAATGAACTAAATATCCGGGGGTTCCACAGTTCCACCTACTGTAGCTAAGTGGGGATGGGACCCAGAAATGAGGCCCTCATGATGGTGTTTACTACCGTCATGGGTCCAATGGGTTTAAGCTTGGCCCCACTTTTTTTTTGCTGCTCATGTGAGGATCTGAAACCATCCAGCGACTTACTCCCAGAAGCCAGGGTTGCCAACTTCGTAGTCAGATTGTCACAGAAAAAGATATTTCAACGTCACATCGCTCTGAAAAACCCACCGCCATCGCAGCCACCCTGAGATCCCCACTGACAAAGCCGCAAGGCTGTTGGGATCCGCGGCAGCTTCGGCGAGGGCTGCCTGCTGAGCCGGATCTATTGTTGCCACCTGCAAGGAGTCCAAGCTGGCTGCCTGGCCCAATTGGCCCAAGCTGGCTGCCTCAAGAGCGGTAGCGATGTGTATGGAATCTACTGCAATGTACTGTATGTATATAATGATCTCTCATAGATCAGTTATCATATATCATATATAATATTACATATGATCAAACATGTATGTCTATATAAGTTCTATATATATATATGTATGTGTGTATGTGTATAAAGGTACGCAAAATGGTGCAATGCAATGAAATGCAATGTAATGCGATGCAATGCGATGCAATGCAATGCAATTTAATGTAATATAATATAATATAAAATAATATTAATATTAGCATTAATATTAGTACTAATATCAAAAAAATAATATGATATGATATAATAAATGATACAATAAAAAAATATAATATAATATAACATAATATAATACAATATAATATAATATAAAATAATATAATAAAAGACAATATAATATGATATGTAATATAATATATGTCATAATATATACTATATAATACAATATAATATATAATCTATAATATATAATCTATAATCTATAATTTAAAGATATATGTATACAATAAAATATAAAACACAGAATATAATATCTAATGTAATATATAAAATATAATATATAATATAGTATAATATAATGTAATATAATAAAATGTAATATGATATAATGTAATGTATAATATAATATATAATATAATATCATATAATATATCATAACATAACAATAACATAATATAATATAGTATGATATATTATATTATAATATAATATGATATAATATAATATAATATGATATGATATAATATAGTATAGTATGACATGATATGATATAATATAATTTAATAAAATATACTATAATATAATATAATATCATATAATATAATATCATATAATATAATATAAGATAATATAATATAATAATATATTATAATCTATATATATATTAATTGCAAATATGTATATTATTATGCTGTATATATATATACAAATTGATTGTAATTGTATATAATCTTCATCACATATTATGGCTGGAACATGGGTATAGAACCAGCAAGACCTGGACAAAAATCAGCGGTTCCCAAGATCACTCCTCGAAATGTACCCCAATAGCTGGATGGTTTGTTTCATGGAAAATCCTACGTATGAAAATGGATGATTTAGGGGTGCCCCCCATTTGTGCAAACCCTGCAATGGGATCTTTACCAAGCCCTTGGAAGATGGAACCCATCTTCAACCTGCCCCTGCCTGCTGTTGCAGCGCAGCTACCATTTCAGGGCTCATTGTTTCGGACATGATCGGTTCGCAGCTAATTTAATTAGCAGCCGTCCTTCAGCTGCAACGGTTTATCTCTCATCACGTCTCGGATGACCGTTCCTCCTATGTCTCGAGCCACGCACAAGACACGGGACAGAAATCGGTCGTTCGGAATGAATTGCCTGAAATCTCAAGATGAACCCCAAAACATCCCCAAAACATCTACAGTACCCATTCATATCTGTTCTTGGTAAGTCATCTTTGAAATTCACTCGACTAGGCGTTCCCATCTTGGCCTTCAGGAAGGCTCAAGTGACTCCAACCAAAAACACATCAAAAAGAAACGTGCTCCCAAAGCAGGTGTCAATGGAGTGATTCTAGATATGTTTGTTTGGAAATCCATTGAGTTTTTTCATGGTCTTCCTTACAGTAAACGGAAACCAATTCAACCAATTCTAAGCATGAAGACTTTGTTCTGGCACCCAACCCAGTGCAAAGGAGAACAATACGATGGTAATCTCGACGATCAGGTTTCATATGGTTTCATCACCTATAGCTCCAGCATCATTCGGCCATCTGGTGTGGTCCTCTGAATTCGCCTATGTTCGGCCTGTGAAACGCGTAGGACCGGAGCCCAAGAATGCTTCCGACTCTTTGTCTTGGGCCAACAGGATGAAAGGCATTCCGCTTAGTCCATTGCCTTATTGGCCGCCTGTGGTCTAAGCCTCTGTGTTGCCTCACTTCTCTCAGGAGCTTTCCAAATGGTCTCAGCTAGCAGCCAACCTTCCAGCTGCTGATCCTTCACAGCTCGAAAAATCACATGTTCTCCCCCTTTCAGGTCGATGCGGTCCCGCTCACTGCGCAAGAAGCGCACGCGCAACTCCACATCCGACTCAGAGTCGGAATCGTGCACTGAAATGGTGCCCCACCTTACTACTGATCAAAGCAGAAAATTGGCTGCGCAATGCACCCACAAAATGGGATCAAAATGGGTGGTGTTTATTGCTTTCTGGTGTAAGCAAAGCTGTAATCACAGCGCCAGCACGGTACAGATTAGAATGCAGCTGGAATCTTTAGTCCCTCTGCCATGCATGGATAGCACTCATCCGCCACTAAATTCCTAACTTCCAGATACCCAAAAATGATAGTTGGAGCTTAGCATCTCCCCCAAGATGAATCCATCAAAATCATGGCACAACTTAGAATTTCAGGGATGGCAAAAAAAAACATAGCTAAGCAAATGGTTTTCGTGACTCTTTCTTCTCGGAATATTTCTGCACCACTCCTTTCATGATGGTGACCTCTTTCCGTTTTGCCCAGCTTTGCACCCGATGCCCTGGGGGCGACCGCGGCGACCGCGACGTCGAGACTCCCTCGTCGTTCGGGGTCAGCTTGGCTTTGCGGCTGGAAAAAGTCGATTTCAGAGCAATGAAGGCGCAGAAGAATGTCAAAGCTAAAATGCCGCAACCTCAGAGCGAAGATCCAAAAATATCAAAAATGGTCCTGCTCCAAAAATGTGTTTAGACCCCGGAAACAGATAGGTTTCCAGCTCCAAAAGTGGATGATTGAGGGTCCCATGGCCTTCCCAACTTCGGGACAGATCCATGTTCATCTGTTTCACAAACGAATACTGCAGACCTTCCCAAGACTTTGCCAAAGATTCACTGACTGGGTATGGCTATGCAAGAATGTGGTTTAGAAGATATCAAAATTCAATGTTGCTCATGTTTCTGCTCATGGTCTTTGGGGATCAAGATTCTGAAAACAAGGGCGTTACACTGCAGATCCCCAGCGCTCATGTCTACCATCATTTACCCCTGTAGGATCAACCGGAAAAAGGATGTCTGTGGGCAAATTGCTATGATTGATCACAAGCCTGACATATTTCGCCCTTGCCGTTGATTCTCCAAAAACGTATTACGGATGTATGACGGACTTATGGTCATCAAATGATCCAGAAATTCCAGAAACATGGATTCCAGAAAAATCGCCATCTGCCAAGGATCCGAGAACATGTGAAGTAAAGTCATCCGGCAGTATCCCTTGAGCGGTTTCGGAACTCACCGACGCGATGGCCAGCAGCGTGCATCCCACTGCCGTCCACCAACTGTTCTCTTCGGTGCCAGGGTATGCGGGCATGGACGCTGGATGAAGTGTTTGTTTATTGATGTTTATTGTGTTTATAGGAATGTATAGCATTTTATAAGTCTTTATGATGCTCTCTTGAACTGACCTTTTGCCGATCAAAAGCGTTTACTTGCAGCTTTCAGTTGTTGCCCAGTCAATGAGCGCATCTTGGAGCATCACATATTTTGGAGCGCGAGAAGTGCCTTTGGAGTTAACATAATTCGCAAAATCCAGCAACTGGGGTAATCCACCATCCCACCATCATATGGGCAACAACCATGGTTCCTACCCCGGTTGTGATATCCGGGATCAAAACCGAATCTGCTTCTTTGTACCTAGCTCCATGGTTCAAGGCATGCGGACTCACCTTGCAAGCTTGTGCCAAAGGTCATGGTCATGGTCGGAAAGAAAACATTGCTTGCGTGGGCAGTGTGCACTTTCTTGTCCAAGTGGAGAATCACCTCCAACAAAAAAGGTTGCTTCAATCAAGGAAAAGTGATGAACGGTGGACATCTGAGGGGTTCCGCTGAATATCACAGCGGCAAGAGCACACCACGGATGGGTCATTCTCAGCAGACTATCCAATTTTAAGGGGACTGCAATTTAGCCTACCTTTGTTGGAAGCTGTAAATTGGGTTGCTGATGGTTGCTGTGCGTCATCTTCCCTTGGTAGCTGTTGGCATCTCGCTCCTACTGGGAACTGCAGATCATGTGCTTGGGATGGCCAATTCCTCTCGTTCCCCCATCTTTGGCCTCCCAAAATCTCCGAACATTCAAACATTGAAAATCCATCGAATGTGTGGACCGAATCCAATGGTCAGACTCCGAATCTAGTTGATACACACCTCAAGCTGCACGATTTTCTAGTGGCGTTCGGCGTTCATCGCCCGCGCGAGAGATTTGGGAGTGGCGCCTTTGCAGGCGCTCGCTATTGCGGTACCTTTCCCTTGGAAAATCCCTTCAGTGGGGATGCTGGACCATCCAGATATGATGCTGCGGCAGCGCCAGGCTTGCGCTTGATCTTGGACCATCTGTTGCCATCCTCAGCCGCAAGGCTGTCTCGAAAACACGGGTTATGGTTGGTTCATAGGATTTTCCATGATGGATTGTGATAATCCCCAAAATATCGGATGTACAGTATAACACCCCATAATCAGGGGTTTTGAACACTGCATGGCAAAGCCTGATCTTAAACCCGTAGTTTCTGGTCCTGAATCCTCCAATGGTTTGATCTAAAAATCTGCTCGAAGAGACAAAACTCTGTTTCTTCTTGCCAGGTGAGATGCACACATATGACCAGAGACCTCAATGTTCATATATGATATTATATAATTATGTAATTCATATATGTTCCATGCTAAAATATGGTCAAACCATCCAAAATCATAGATTCTCCCCCTATCTTCCCCAGATCATCTCCAAGGCTCTGGGAAGACAATGCCATCTCCATCGAACTTGGCAACGGCATCCTTGGGTCCTCCCTTGGACGAAAAATCCTTGGTGGTGCTTCAAAGGGGACTGTCTGTCAAGCCGTGCGCCGCGCGGCGCGTGGGCAGCTCCAACTCCATACATATGCACACAACATGCAGACTAAAAACTTAAAGGCATTGTGCTACAAGGCAGCCTGACTGGCCCCAATCGATTCATTGGTTCAAAACCAGTTGGCGCCATTGCGTTTCATTCTGGACAAAAAATAACAGATTGCGAGTACTACCTGTAAAGGAAAATGCTAAAGAAAAAACTTCAGGTATCCACTCTTTACGAGGCCGGCCTACCCTTCTTGGAGATGTAGCAGCAGTGTATGTGCCAGGTTCAAACGAGACTTGTCTCAGAGGGTGGTGCGGGTGGCAACGCAGAATCTTTCCCAAAAGCAACAGCTGTTTTCGTTCCCAAAGGGGAAATGGTTATTATATATCCTACAATGTTTATAAATATGTGTATATATATAGAGAGAGAGAGGGAGAGAGAGATTGGTTGCATATCCCATTATATTTGATTATGTTTCAATTGGGTTGCAACCCAAATCTAGGTCACGGGACGCCCAATTGGATGGTACAAACCATGGTTTTGTGCGCGTTTTGCTGGGGGTTCCATCTGCCCTGAAGGCAGGGGCTGGCCAATGAGGCTGACCCAGCACAGTGCCTGCAATGCTGATTGCCATCCAGGACTGAGCGTGTTGGAAGTGTGATAAAGGAAAGAAATAAATAAAATAAAGAAAAAAAGAAAAGGAAAGGGAAAGGAAAGGGAAAGGAAGGGAAAAGGAAGGGAAAAGGAAAGGAAAGCAGACCTGGAGTTAGTTAGGCCTTTAAATGAGTCATGTCAAAGCCATGGCTTTAAAGACAACGCGACACCCATAGGGCAAGAGCTGCAAGAGCTCTGCATGTCCAAGTAGATGCTCTTACTGAAATGCTAATCCACAGATGCCAAGACCCAGAATGGGCCGCACCGAAACCCTGACTCTCCTGCTAACGTCCAAGAAAAACAAACGCATTACAGATATTACCGTAAACTTGACTAAATATAGCTGTGCCGAATTGAAGTTACTAGAATGACCAGACTACCCTCCAGTAATCAAGTACGGCACTGGAAAATCCACAATTTATGTGATAGATAGATGATTTTCCTATGAACACCTCTCTTTTTACTGGATGTTCAATTGCCATGTTTGCTTGCAAGGTGCCACGAGCAGCTCATCGGATGCTTCTCCTGGCACTCCAACGTTGTGGATACAGATGTGATATGCAGCATGTTGCACAGGATACAGTGGATGTTGTGCTGCATGTTTCACGATAAAATCATATATATATATTGATACTTATATATATGCATGTTTATTTTGTAGAATACATACCTATAAAATCATGTGTATATACGTGTATATATATATGCATACAGTCGCAGACATTGTATGTGTTATACATAGATTCAGATAAATATAGAGGTATGTTATGTCTTGCATCAAAAACCCAAGTACCTGTTGAACATAGCTGAGCTGGTCCTTGTTGTGCGATCAAGTACCATCTCTTGGTCGGAGCATCTTCAAGGCATGCTTTGTTGCCATCTTCTGAGCTAGTTCCCGAGATCACAAAGTCGCCCTCAGGTGGAAGTGAACAGCTTGGCTGTTGGTGGAGATAACATTTACCAATGGTGATAGGGGGTTGGTTTTCCGGTGATACCATGGTGTAATCATGATGGTTCTCACTCGGCCGCCCAGTTCTGTGCACAGTGTCTCTCACCATCCCATCCCCACTACCAAATCCAAGCTGCACCATCCTTGGTAATGGAGCGCTCACAGCCCGGATGCTTGGGATCATCATAAATGCCAGACCATCTGGCAATCGCCGCGTGCCTCAGGCGGAGCAACACTGGGTCGAATGGAGATGTTCTCTCATTTTGAGGGTAGCATTTCAAGGTTTCCCGTTTCTCAATCTCCGAACCATTGTGACGCTATGGTCGTGCGTGCCCAGGTTTACTGGTTATATTGTCATTGTTGAGCTGTACTCCTGCTTTTGCAGTGAACTCTTGTTGGTTGATGTTTGAAACCCATCACAAAATTAATCGGATCGTGCCCGGAAAAACCGCCAACGCACTCCACCGCGATCTGCTGACGCTGAATTGCAAAACACTACAGAACTACGCGCAATGGCAACACACATCTCTGCTCCAAAACCGGATCTTGGCGCCAAAGCAAAAACAAAACACAATGTTCAAGCGTTTTGCAAAAAGGAATGTTCAAAGCAAAATGATCAGCACCACAAAATAACCAAAAACTCATCATGGCAACCTTGGCGCAGTCACTCACTACACTGCAATTTGCGAAACACAGGTGGAAAAAACAATGGAACTACGCACAAACGCAGCACCAAGGAACAATGGTGCAGCCATTCCACTGCGATCTGCAAACGTCTGCAAAACACCCAAAAACTACATGCACAGCCGGCGCATTACCAAGGAACTTTGGTGTTCAAATCCCCACCGCTCCACAATGAGAACATTTCAACACGCGCCATTTTTTGGGCCATGGCCACTGCGCCACAGATTCGCACGGATGGGAAAGGTCCGTGTCACCACTCACAGATCGCAACGGCGCCACAACCACAGCACGCAAACAGCAAGAATATTGAGAGGGCATCATGCGATTGATGTGGCCGAACCAGCCGGCCGCATCAAAGAATCTTAAGTCATACCAAGTAAGCAATACATAGTGCTTTCCAAGTAAAACTAAACACGTAGTCCTATGCAAGTAAGTCTAGGCAAGTAATCCAAGCAAAGTACTTCTAAGCAAGTACTTGTATGGTTTTACTTGGATGGTATTACTTACTTTTACAGTAGGTGGCGAAGTAAATTGCCAGGGCCAACTAGATCGTCAAGTACAGCATGAAGTCAAGTGCAATGTTCATTGTGGAGCACATTTAAGAACGCAAAGTCCCACATCTATATAAGGTTATATAAGCAACACACCTAGGTACCCAAGCAGCACATATTGTAAAGTGATGCATGTCACGCAAAATTTAAAAAAAAAAACGAAACATCTTAGGTCATCTTGTCTTGCAAAGTCACGCATGTCATAAACACATATTCCAAGGCAATGCCAAGACGTGTAGACATTTGCAGTTTCAAATGTCAGGTTGTCTCATGTAGGCTATCTCATCTTGTGCGACGTAAATCACATGTTCACCTGTAAAGTTGTGTCATGCATCTCACGTCGTGCCATGCAAATTGCGTGATGTATGTCATGTTGTGAGATGCAAGACGGAGAAGGAAGGTGCTCACTCCCTATATACCCCTGACAAAAGCACATTTCAGCAGATTTTCCACAAATAAAAAAAAAGATAGTTGAATCCAAACCCCAATTCGGGTGTTTCTTGAAGTTGAAGCACCTTTTTTCACAATGGTTTTCCCCACTCAAAATCAAAATGACCAATAATTTGGGTGACTTTGGGGTACCCCTCTTTAGGAAACACCTATCGTATTCCATCATTTCCCATCACAACCCCAACACACCTTCATCTTCGGTCAAAATCCCAATTCAGTACGATCATTATTGTCAATGTTGATGATGTTTGCTTCATCATTGTCAATCATTATCATTGTCATTCGCAATACTGTCTGTATTCTTAGTGTTGTTATCATCATCATTATTGTTTCTGAATCATGATTATCATCATTATCACAATGAACATCAATTAACCATGATTTCACATGGCTATTACCATGGCTATTGAACCCATCTATTGAACCCATCCATTGTAAGGGCCTAAAAACTTCAACCTCCGTGGCCCAGGCCACTGGCGGCAGCCCAGGAACGCCGCCGGGGCTCCAACCGCCTGGATGGCGGCCACGGTAGCAGCGCCCAGGAACTCGCGACGGGAACTATGTCCTGGGGTAAAAACCACCGGGGGTTGAAACGGTTTCGGGTTATGTCTAACATAGCTATTGAAAATGGTGATTTATAGTGGAATTTCCCATTAAAAATGGTGATTTTCCATAATTAGTTATGTTAGTTTACCAGAGGGTAACCAACAAAAAAACAACAACATCTGGGGTTAACAATATCTGGTTGTTTGGGGTTAACAACATCGTTCCGCATTTGCAAGTGCAAAACATTGTCTCAAAACGCCAAGTTTTTTGGGTTTTGGACCAAGACACTTAAATTTAAAGCAGAAACATTGATGAAAAATGTTTTCCGTGAGCCAACATGTTGAGACAACAAGAAGCGTGGGATTTCACCGGCAAAGATGGAAGCGTTGCCGATCAATATTAAAAGCCCACGAAGGACTGTTGTGGCCGCCGAATCTCACTCCTATGGGGATATATAATACACTGCTGCAACAGTCCATTGCGGTAGCGTCGGGGTTCATTTAGGGAGTTTACCCAGTTGAGAATCAAACTACAAGCACACGTCTTCTGCAAGTGTCTGCTGCAAGCCACAACGATTGGGATCGAACCAACAAACAGAAGCTGAGCAACAAAAGAGGAATTCACCCAAGAACGGTGGGATTTCAGCAAGAACATCTGGTTCAACCATCAATAGCTTAAATCCTTGGAATCTAACTGGTGAGAATGTTGATCCTCTGAGTTCCTGAGTGACCCACGCGCAATTTCAGCCAAGCATCTGGTAGGTGCGATGAAAGTAGTACACCTCTGATAGGGGCGGCAATCTAAGCCATCTACCAAGTTAATCCAAGTCACTCAATGCCTCCGTCAACTCATCCATTTCTTCTTGCAGTACATCCATCTACCACAAGTAGATCCTCTGCAATGAACCGCCAAGACATCTAAGACATCCCAAAACCCAACGACCAAAGAGTGACAGTGCCTGTAGAGCAGTAGCGTCACAGCTGCCAACAGCAGGGTGGCCTGCTGTCAATCACAAATTCACGTTGTCATGGAACACCAATGCCGCACGCAAACAAAATCACTAATCTTATAGTCTCTTCAATAACTAAAACATGCTAAAACACATTAAAATCATAAAATCATTATATTATACTATTATACAAAACACACTTGAAATTGCTACAACCTTTCTCTGAATTGTCGGCTCTTCCATCTCGCCTTGCCCACCTTGGTAGATTGCTGTCGCATCATCGCTGCGTTTTGATGGCACGCGGGAGAAAAGTACTGAGCCGCAGTCTCGGCACGGCAAAGCCCAGAATCAACCCACAGACCCAGAAATACTTGGGGAACAATTTGAAAAATTGGGAAAATATACGCATGGAAAAAATGGTAAATTCGTGAAGTTTTAGTTGGTTGAACTGTTGAACCCCTGAACATGGGTGGAGGAGAGGCACTGGACTGTTTCGGAGGCGCAAGGGCCTGGTTTATACTTTGACTTGGTCCTGTTTCCACCTGAAGTAACGGATAACGGAAAGCTTAGGTTTGAAGATTCTGGTAGGTGCTTCACTCCACAAAAAAAAATGGGAACAACATGGATAGAAAGCAACGCAACAACCAACCATTTTACACAGCATGGATGGTGTACCAGCACCATGGTTGGCCCTGCAACGGTGCGTTTTCATCTCGCAAAACAATCAGCACTGTACATCATCGCTCACTGAATTCAACGACCTGAGGTACGTTCAGAAGAGGCCCACAAAATCCAGCTGGTCAAGTTCTGTTTCTAAAGTGCCTGGTTTCCGAATTGTTGTTTGTACCCAAATATGGGTTGAGGCTGTTAGTATGTATTAGTAGCGGTTTGTAGGAAAATGTCGAATTTGGTACAGCCTTCCCTGAAAAAAATGACACTGAAATCCCTCATTATCCACACTGAAATTCATCATGGTTGCTCCCATCCCCCCAATATCACCCCAAACAATGGACCCCAACTGAACAATTTGTGCATTTAACCAGGGCTTAAAGGCTGGTATTTGAAATAATATAAGGGGTATGGGATTCTATACTTGGGTGAGGATCCCCCTCAAGGGCTGTTTTTTGCTCCAGACTCCATGGAAGAAAGTCACCACCCTTTAGATATCGCTGCGGGGAGCACCAAGCACTATTCAGCCACCAAAAAGCGAGGTGAACTCTCTCAAAATGATCCAAACTTGGGGAAATATGTGGGGACTCTCTGTCCTGTCCTACTGGAGGGGTCAGTTCCACTGGTAAGTGGAGGTCCGTTCGGATTTTTCACCACAGCGTTTTGGGGGCCCCATATCCCAACTTATGGGGGGTGATTGATCGTCCAGGGACACTTGTTGCTGCTTCAGCTTCTGCGCTTTCACCTGGGTTGGCTCACGGACATGGGGATGGCTCACGATGGCTCGTTGGTGATCCATACCTATGGTCTGGATCACCTGCGTAGTATGGATCAGGGGTATGGATTGTCCTGTGGGTTTTAACCCTTGATGTGGACCTCAAATTTTGAGCAGCAGCCATAGAAACCATAGGATCTGGAGGATGTTTTTTCTTTGGTCAAAACCAAGTCATAGAAGTCGGTTGTAGGAAGACTACCGGAAACCCATGAATCTATTCTCCAAAATGCAAGTTTTGCCTGTTATCTATTCTGCAATTCATCAATCGCTATAGGTGGCCTCCTTCTTTGATTTCACCATGGTCTTCTCCTAGTGAACCCCCTAGCCTTGATTCATGCTGCCATTTGGTAAACCAATTAGAATTTGGAGGTCATTAAAATCAACATACCACATATTTCAGGGTTCTGATAGGATTTATATGGATTTATCACATTAGCCCCCTCTAGTCTTTGAAATTCTGAAGCCTTTCAATCAGTGCCATCGGACCTGGTTCTCGCTCTACAGACAAGTCCACTTGCAGAAACCTTGGAAGGGCCCCGGGGTCCAGATTGGACTGAAGCTCAAATACTTCCAGGCCATTGACCAGGCAGCAAACCAGAAAGAAATTACTTTCAGTCAAAGTTTCTGGACTGTTGTAGTAGACTAGGTCCCCCAATGCTTCGGACTTTCATGATGGTGCAATCATGCTTCGAAAATCTTCAAAATGACCTAAATCTCTGATTCTGGAGGGTCTTCAATCCGGACCCCCTTTTTAAGTGTTGCGGCCCAGTAACTTTTCGAGCACGGGATCCTGTGCAAGAGTCTGCACTTGTGCTGCCAAGGCCTCCAAGTATGACTGGAGTCCTTCCGTGCGCCGATCCAAGAAACCATCTTTGGCCTTGGCCCCGGAATGGCACTGCGCAGGCTATGGCTTCAGAATGGGGACCCGCAAATGACCCATATCCTGTCATGGTCTTGCTGGAAGAATCATGTTGAAATGTGCAATAATCTATATGTATGTATATTATAATATATATGATATATGTATAATATGCGTATACATACGTATATATTATATAGAAGGCCGGTTTGAACGGCCCAATAGAGGAATTCACACATCTATAAACAAACTCCCGCAAGTAGCCAAGTCACCAGCAGCTTCAAAGGATTCAGGCTCTCCTTTCCAGGTAGAGGTTTCAGTTCCAGAGACCTGGCTGGCGACAACCACATGGGCACTGCATCGATGGGCAATTCTCCATGACGATCGTCATGTGCCAATCATATCGTGTTGTACCACTGGGCGATGCTGTAACTTGATCATACCTATATATATATACCGTCCTCCGTCTCTCCACCCCCCCCATGGGTTGGGTCCCCAGGTAGCAGCCCCAATTCCCTTCTATTTGCAAGCTATTGGCAGCATTTCTGAGGTCCAGCTGCGTATTTGCTAGGTCTTTGCAGCATTTCTGACTACCAGCCTCGCATTTACTAGATACATGCTACCTTTTAGGCGGCCTACGTAGCACACATACTCCTTCAAAGTACCTACGTGCTACCTATAGTCATATATACATGTGCTATGTATCTACTGTATCTACTTCCTATTTACTACCTGTGTACTCTGACAACACTACCTGTGTTTAACATATACCGTACCTACCATACATGTCAATGATGCCGAGCATACCATACCTATCATATCTTTCATACATACCATACATACCATACATATGAAATGTAATTACCACACCTACGTACACCTACCATACATACAATAGCAAACATACATGCCATACATACCACACCTACCTTACATAGGAAATCCGCCCACACCGCTTTGGCGGTGAAGGCGTGCTTATTGGGGGGCAACAGCAACACTAAATGCTCAATGACATTTGTTAATATAGCAGTCGCTATATCAGCTTTAGCTGGGGGGGGTGCCAAAAACGGTTTCGCACCGAGACCAGAATACGGTGGTGTTTTCGACATTTTTCGAGGATTTTGGGGTGTCTGAGCGCAAGAGGGTATTGAAATGGAATTTTGGGTCATTTTGGTAGCTTTCCGGCAATGGAAAAACGGCCAAAAATGAAAAAAAAACATTGTACATAGCAAGATTTTGCAGGGTTTTTGGATGCCAGAGCATTGAAAACACTGCAAAAACAAGTGTTTTGGACTGACGTTATAGCAAAAAACGTGTAAATTACCGTATGTTTGACTGGAAACATTACAAAAACACTGTCAAAAGCAATGTTTTGGAAGGATTTACTGCCTTTATGGCAAAAAACGTGTAAATTACCGTCTGTTTGACTGGAAACATTGGAAAAACACTGTCAAAAACAATGTTTTGGAAGGATTTCTTATATATATGTTGGAGTTGGCTACCGGCATTGGAACATGGAAAAATTGAAGAAAACACTGTAAATAGCGGTATTTTCAACGGTTGGGGAGATAAGGGAATTGGAAGCATTGTCGAACATGATGTTTTCGACCGGTTTTATGGCGACAAAAGTGTAAAGTACCGTGCTTTGAAGGAAACCATTGCAAAAACATGGAAACACATTCAAAGAACACGGGATTTGGGGGACTATCTAGGCGTCGTTGTCTAGCTATTTGAAATTCCGCAGCTTGGAGAGCCTCCAAGGGAGGGAAAAGTGAAAATTCCATAGCTTGGGAAGCTGTCACGGCGGGGAACAGTGAAAATTCCCTAGCTTGGGAAGCCCCCACGGAGGGGAAAAGTGAAAATTCCCTAGCTTGGGGAGCCCCCACGGGGGGGAAAAGTGAAAATTCCCTAGCTTGGGGAGCCCCCACGGGGGGGAAAAGTGAAATTTCCCTAGCTTGGGGAGCCCCCACGGGGGGGAAAAGTGAAAATTCCCTAGCTTGGGGAGCCCCCACGGGGGGGAAAAGTGAAAATTCCCTAGCTTGGGGAGCCCCCACGGGGGGGGAAAGTGAAAATTCTTAGCTTGGGGAGCCCCCACGGGGGAAAACCACCCTTAGCCCCTCTCACGGACCGAAATAAACCTGCGGTGTGGGCGGCCACCCCACGCGAAGCGGGGTGAATATTCCATACCCATCATAGTAACCATACATACCATACAGACCATACATACTGTCATATCAAACATACCATACCCAACAGACTTACATACCATACCTACCATCCATACAATACCAACCACTCATGCCATACATACCATACCTACCATACATACCAAACATACCATACTTTCCAAACATGCCATACCAGACCGACCATACACACCATACATACCCAACATACCATACCACACCCCCACCACACCACAGGGGGGGGAGGGGGACAGTGCCACACCCCCACCACACCACAGGGGGGGGAGGGGGAAGATCTCATATGGGGCCAGTATATGGGACCCATCCCATGGGAGTGGGGGGGAGGGGGGGTGGCAGGGCCTGGTGCATATATATATATATATATACAGCAGATATGTGCTTACCATATCTTAAAGGATTATATAAACTTGATAAACTGAAAAAAAAACTGGAGTTTTATTTACAGTTTTCTTTTAAAAAAAACTAAACATTGATAAACCATCCCAACTTGCCATGGAGCTTGGACTGCTTCAGCTCGTCGTGCAATTGCGCAAAGTCGTTGTAGCGTTTCTGCAGGAGCCAGGACCTGCCACTCCTCGACGCCGGACAGGCCACCGCCCCAGCTCACCTTTAAAAGGACAGTGATGCTCACTGGGAAATGAACCTTATCCAATTTTGGAAAATTGAAGGGTGAGCCGGTTTGACCATTTCGAGTCATATTCAGGGTTATGTCATTCGCAGAGCCCACAGAGTTGCTAAAGCTGACATGGAACCCATGAAATGGGCGTGGAAGAAGATTGCCTTTTTTCCACGTCTTTGATGAGACATGGCGAATTGGTTGGATACCACTGTACCGAATACAAATCGGCTGTTCGTGGTATATGTTCCAGCTCAAAATTTATAGTGGCTATACATATTCTATACTATTCTATGATATCATATTAAAGTATATTAAATCAACATTCTATTACCTTCTATGGTTCTATTATATCATATGTTCATTTTGATATTATTGAATATCATATCCCATATTGGCCTTCTCAAGGCGCCCCTGAGGTCCCAAACTCATTGGTCACCTGCACATCGTACCACACAACACCATCCACCTGACAGGGTATGGGAGGATATGATTGATGGGATGATTGAATAAGCACCAACGGCACGGCTTGAAGAGATCAAGAAATGGAAGTGGCTGAGGGTAACAGTTAGAAAGAATTAGATTGAAAGCAGTTGAAAGCTAATTCTTCTCACTCTTTTTCATCAAGAGATAAAATGAAACAACCATCCAGGATTGATGTTCCGAAAAAGTGGGACTGGATCTTCACACCCACTGTTTGATTCCGCGCTAGAGCGCTAGAGCTGTAGCAGGCCTCTGAATGACCAGTGAGCTCAAGTTTCACGACCATGGCAAAAAGGGTTGTGTGCTCAGAGTCCGTAGATTTCTAGTGGCAAACAGGATGTATGCAATGGTGCAACGTTGAAGAATCAGAATCTTTGGAACTCCAAAAATGTGGCTGAACTTCGGTGCAAATCAGTTGACTTCTCCTGGTTGGTTCCGGGCCCAGCACCGCCTTCGCGATGAAAAGAGCACTGCACTGCAAAGTTTCACGGCACGTGTCATGATCGTGTGTAGACATCGGAACCATCGTGCTACGTGTCATGTTCAACCCATTCCAGCTGGATCCACCGTGCCTTCCTTTTGGGGGACTAAATTTAAATCGGTGGTTCTGTCTGTACAGAGCTAGCACGCTGGATGTGCAGCCTCAATTGAAGAGCCCTCTGTTTCCTGCCTTGCAAGAAGAACTGGTTGGGGGGGAACCCGTTTTTCTCATCATTCTCCCCATTAAAATGATCAGGAATTGGGCTTTCTAATGCTTTTTATCCGTTGGAGACACAGGGCTCGGCTGCTCAGCGATTAGAGCGCCAGCGGTCCAAGGACACTGGCTGCCCCACACTGCAAATTGATGGCTAGACAGTCAGGGTGGAAGCGGTGTGGACCATGGATGCCCCGGCGGAATTTGTTCAAATTCCCTGTAGATGGAACCATGGGAACCATCACAGTTTCGCTTATTTTTCAGAAGGCCTATGGTTTCAAAATCTATTATGGCATCTTGAAAGTGTAGGGTGTGAACGATACCAAAACATTTGGATAAAGAACCGGGCGCCAACCCCATGTCACTGCACAACGGAACCCCGAGGATGACGGCAACGCCATGCCCTGCAGAACTGGTTCTCCAGGTCTCGCACAGGGTGGCACTCTTTGTACAAACTAGTTGGAATAAATGGGCAAAGGGGTCCAGCCATTGAGGTACCAATGGGTGGATATGTCCAAGTTTCCAATGTTTCCAATATTCAAATATTGAGAAAAAACCCTCCATTCCTTGGGATTTTTAGCCATTCATCATAATTATCCGGACCGAGACCCCAAACATGGTTTGCATTCAACAAACCACGTTGCTGTGCGGCAGTCCAAACTGCCGCCATTGAAACGTTAACAGTCCAGCTCTCTGCTGTTCACCTGGACAAGAGCACCATGAAGCCCATCCTTTATTTGGTCCAGGCAAACTTGTACATTGTACACCTCGAAAAGCTTGAAAGTGACCACCCCAATTTTTCATCAAAAAAAATGATGATCCAAGTTTTGAGGCCCTCAAACTCCCTCAGTGTAGCATCAAAAATTCCCATTGTTTGGCCCAAAATTTCCTCAGAAATCCAACAAGGCCTGCGCAGCAAGGCCTGCGCCGGCAGCGCTCACCGGTTTGCCTCCCAAGTTCACTGCATGGAACCCTGGGTGAAAAATATGATAAACAATCAAAGGCTGACCACAGCACACAACCCATCAATTATATATATATAGTTACTCTGAATTCATTAGTTTTACAATCAATTTTTACGTACGATTAATCAATCATCTGGATAATTGATTAGTTTATTCATCAATCCGACAGCTTTACGGTAATCAATTTAGTCGATGATCTTGGGATGTTCATCTCTCAGTGTTTTTGGGTGCTGTTTCACTTTGTTGAAGACCCATGATGGCCAGGTTGAGGACGCGATCTACCGGCTATACCTGGCCGAACTATCCAGGGTTTGTATGACACTTCTTTAGGTCCCATTTTCCAGGGTTTCTAAACCAAAGTCATTGACAATTTTATTTGCTGAAGTACGATGCTAATGATGCAACAGACTATGTTTTTTTGCAACATCTACCAAGCATTGTGGTAAACCAACCAGTATGTGGTAAACCCATGTAAACCCAACAAGAAGATTCTCCAATTGGGGATGGTTTGTTTTTTGGGCATGGCTTTACCAGCTTACCGCATTCCTAACCTCGTCACTTCCTAATCTTCCCCCGTTGCGGTACACCGGTTGCCGCCCCGCGCCTCCGGCCAAGCCACTTGAGTCACTTGAGGCCAGGGGTCCGGCCTTTTTCAACCAACAAACATGACATCAAACACGAGGGTTTGGCTAACAAAACCCTGGTGATGATGATGATGATCATCATCATATTTGATACGTACCAATCGAGTTAAAACCAAAGCACAATGTAATGATCCTCACCAGTGCAAGTTCTTGACCTCGCTTGCAGCAAATAGTCGAGCCACTGTTCCAAATTCCATTTGCACTTGGTGGTGTTTTCTCGTAACATTTTCTCGAAAACTGAATTGACATAACTGACTCGCACAGACGTTGGTGGCTTCGGCTCTGCTGGCGAAGCACCTTCCCGACAAACGTTGAAAACATCAAACTGCTCCAATATCCAAGGAACAGGTCGTTCAGGAAATGATAGGTTACCCCACCTCTGTTTGCGTGGTGCAAGCTCATCCAAACGATCCAAACAAAGCACAATGTGGCCTTTAGCTAACTCAATTCTTCAAAAGCACCTTTGCGTAGGCACCACATAAATTCTTCGTGTGTGACGCATAGTCTGCTTGTGTGCTGGTTTGATTTGTTTTCTGCGAATGATGGACAAATGTTGCTTGTGAAAAACAAATTCTCAGATCTAATAACTGTAGATGTAAATTCTTGGAGCACCTGTCTTTTCATCTGCAGAGATTCTAATTCGCGAAGATCTGCCAAAAGCTTCTCAGCATCAGAAGTCCGTAGGATTCTGGCGCTCTCCATATCAACAACATGTTTTTTGGTTTGTTTTCGTTCCCGAGAGTTCATGGTCAAGGGGCCGGCTTATGTTGTTCCGCTGCTGTGCACTTCCTCCAAACTGCAAAAACACAAGCCTTTCTATGCTCAAATCAACAGCATGAGCATCCCTGAGACCACAGAAAAACTTAGTTTTCATCGGATCATCACACCACTCCTGTTCAGTCAAACGCGGTTTCTTTCGACTTAAATCTGATTCATGAATTGGCGGCACGTCACCAAGTGCGCGGCCCTGTTTCAAGTTGTTCTTGTTCGTGGCTTGCACATTTCGATCATGTTGGCCATTACCAGCACTTTGAAGCAAACCCTCTTCTCGCCCAGTTCTCTTGCCAGCTGGACAATCTGGCTTGTGTTCTCGATGCAAACGCAATGCGCAATTGAAGCGCCAATTGCTCCAATTCAGGTTGTGACAACTGGGACAACCGATATAATGTCGGTTGGATTTCCAGGAGTTCTTCTCCAGAATCTCGGGCCAGTGATTGAAAGAAGGCACGCCATGGTGATATTCAAGTTGAAAGTTTCCCGCCATCACAGTAGCGCTATTGATAGGTTGATAGATCAACACTGCTGCCTTTTTTCCCATCTTGAGGGTGTTAAGTAGTTTTGGCAATCACTAAAGAAGCACCTGTTCCAAAACTACTTAACACCCTCAAGATGGGAAAAAAGGCAGCAGTGTTGATCTATCAACACTAATCAATAGCGCTACTGTGACGCCAGTTCAGATGACGCCAGCAGAGGCTGTCTTTTCGCTTCCCCTCCGAACAGTTTCACACGCAAGTACGGCCAGCACCATTCAATGGTGTCGTTTCAGGGTGTCCATGGTTGTTGAAGTGATCTCGATCGTAATCAATCCATTTTCTGCCCATCAATTTCCACATCTTCTCTTGCAACGGTTCCCGCGCTGCAAGGTTGTAGATCTGAAACAAAAATGATTTAGGTTCAGTTCTGCGCCAGGGATGCAATGGCTCGGGCTGGAATTGTTGGATCAGCCAATCGGTTCGATCTACGCTTCTGGCACTGGTGTTTGAAGTCCCAACAATCATCGGACAAAATTGACGAACACTTTCTCTGTCGCCAGCTGCGTGTGGCCATGACGATCGATCCATAGCCGCACATGAAAGGATCTCCAAGCAAGTGGATCTCCGAAGTCACATAAACATACTTGCAATCACCATAAATAAGAACTGACAAATGGTGTTGTATACAGTACACTTGAATTACAAAAGGAAATGTACGACTGTGTTCTTGAAGACAAACATGGGCAAAGAACTTGCGACCTTCTTTTTTCGGAAAAGGGGCTGCTGTTTTAGGTCCCTCAGAAGCCTCAGAACATTCCATCATAGCAAGGAAATGAATAAAGCAAATTTACAGGCCTCAGGTTCAAGTACAGTAAGAGAGAAAGCGAACAAGTCAAATCGTTTGAAACAACACACCCACTACAACTCTGCGGCTGCACGTCTCAAGTTATTCCAAGGCGGAAGAATCTATTTCATTGAAATAGATTCTTCCGCCTTGGAATAACTAGAACACTTACTCGGCAAAAGATGAATTCAATAGAATCTACCAAGCGCAACATGGCCGAATATTCCATGAGAACCAGTAAAACTATGTAAAACTATAAAACCCATTTTCAGACAAATCCAGATGGGATAAACCTGGTCAGCAAACTTACTCAGCATGGTTGGAGGCTACTTCTAACTTAATCATATCCACATATATCCACCATTTATAGTTGACTGTCCCATTAAGCTCTCCATTTTTGCATAAGATTTTCCATGTTTGATTCCCATAGCGGCTATTCCATGATATTCCGATCCTGCAATCGACCTGCCTCACCGCTTGAACGCTTGGCCACACATCCGACTGGTCAGGCCAACCTGGCGGGTTGCAACGTCCGTCCAGTCAATCCCCAGTCAATGTCTGTGGATTTAATCGTCCCAAAACTGCTTGGTCAAATCTCCATTTCCTTTGATGAACATCTCCATTCTCAATCGGATGCCCCCCAATTCTCAATAGGCCAATTTTCCCATTCCTGGATCAAATATCCCCATAATTCTGGTGACATCCCCAATTTTCCTATTCAAGGTGTATCTGAAAACAATGCACAACTCCGCAAATTGCCATTTCTCTCAGTTTCATAGAAGACATGATGCTTTGCCAATGGATTTAGGCCTGCGTCCATCTCTTTCATGTCTAATTGTTCAATGTTTTTCAGGGCTAAACCCATTTTCAACATATTTCTTGGATTTTCTTGGTTATACAAGGTACATTCCCTATAACGCCTATGATTACGCCTATTATATCCCCATATTTGTTGCTCAAATCCCCTAAAATTGGGGGAATCCCACCTGATCCCGCGGCAGCATCTGCGGCTTCGGCTACGGCTTCAGCCACCGCCTGAAATTTGCCGGGCTGTTTTGGCAAATCGGGGTGTTCAACATGATTTATGGCTTATGACATTATTAAAGATAACAAACATATAAAGTATATGGGTATGGGTCAATACCTATAGATACATTTTTAGTGGGATGAACATCCATTTACCAGCTATTTTGGGGTTCACTAGGTACCAGGGTTTTGACCCATCCCCATATAAAGATCGGGGTTCAGATAAGGGGGAGGAGCTGTGCAGAAAAAAAATGAGAGGTACAAGACACACCATTTTTGCAACTACAAAATACAGAGCACAACTTGATTTGATTCCGAAAACAATTCAAGATATGCACTACAAAAACCTATGCATCTTAAGTTGAAAAACAGCTGAAAATCGGAAATGCTTACATGAATTTTCCCAATAACATTTTGTAGCTGGGCCTATGCCATCCAAAGTTCCGACCAAGATACTTTTCAGAAAGCATTTTGTAGTTGTCAGATTGAATTTGATTGGATCAAGTGTTGACCCCGTGCAGTTGTTAGATATGATTCTGTACTGGCAGCATTTTATGGATGTTTCAACTTCCTCAACATATATACAACTACAAAATGCAAATGAGATTTTATGTTGGATGATTCAACTAACTCAACATATGCAACTACAAAATACAAATGAGGATTTTAAATGAAACAACTACAAAATGAATGCAACTACAAAAAGGTTGGCCCAACTCCACTTTTTTGTACAAAACGTCGTCCCATTTATGTAGCTGTTATTTGATCCCGGATATATAAAGATCATGGAGATGTTAATGATATTTATGTTCATGCAAAAAAAAATGTTGTTCGATGGAAAGATCAAGAAGTGGGATTGAACCAAAACCTGGGAATTCACGAGTAAAAAAACTGATTCCACCAATGAAAATCGTGGATAGCATCCAGATCATCCAGAGAACGGAGAGAATGAACCAAAGGATAGGGTGTTCGCCAATCATAAGGGCATTGGCGCGTAGGATGTTGATTCAAATCGATTGACAAGACATAGGCTAGTCGGATCTAGTCAGGTGTCTGAGCCACCACATGAGGATATCATAGAGATATTTTGAGGCACACCAACAAAAAGTTCTTGATGTTAGCCAGCAATCATTGGGCCACTCATTGCCGCAGATATGAGACGACTGGGACTACAGTAAACACTAGGACTACGACTGGGACTGAGCATGTTTACAACCAATCAGACCAAATGAAAAGGATTGAAAAGGTTGGACTTGCCACCGAAACCTGCTAACCAACAAGAAAACCAACCTGTTTTTTCCATTTTTTTCCCAGGTCCATGCCTCTCCTGAGCTGCCAAACCATGGATCCCCAAAGAAACCAGGAAAATTGAACAAATCCAAAAAAATACCCGAAAATCCGAGGAAAAAGGTGGCTCCCAAGCCCGAAACCGACTGACCCCTGGCGCACCATTTGCGGGGATGGCGACAGCGCCGAGGCCGGGCTGGCGGTACCACGTGTCACCTTCTCAGCCAGGTGAGTAGGAAACTTGGACTCCATCAGTAGCATTCATGGGCCATTGAGCCAAGGCCAGCAATGTTTTGTTCCCGGAAAACCAACCGGATGCAACCGGTGGGAATCTGACGGCAACCTTCCCCGCCTCCGATTTGGGAGGCGACAACAGAGCGGTGCCTCTCAGTTCAATCGCTTGCATGGCTCAACAGATTCTGCTTAGAGAAAAGCCAGGTGAATGGGGGGTTCCCTTCACTCCCCACAATGGTTGTGTTGCTTTTGGCGGGAATCGAAGCTTCGCTGCTTGGCCCAACAATGTCCAACCCTTGGCCCAACCCTAGCTGTATCCCAGTAGAAAACTCCAACATCTCGCACCTGCACCAGTGCTAGCCTCGCTGATCACTGGTCATCATTGGTCATCACCCCAAAAATATGAACTTCAACAAGCAAAATACAATTTTTCACAATACAAATGGGAACCAGTTAAACAACATAAAGAGTCAAAACTGAACATTTAGCCAACATAAATGGGAGGGAAATCAACAGAAACCAGGGCCTTCGACCAAGAACAAAACCTGTACAGGGATGGGAGGTTTCCACACAAGATCCCCAAGTCCTCACGTGCCAAGCAACCGGCGACGGATCCTGGTTGAGCTTGGGAGCTTGGGAGCTTGGGATGCAACCCGATCCAGCGAAAGAAGATTCGACATCCCGACAAAAATCGTGCTGCAAGTTCGTGTTCATGAAATTGATCTTTGTTTCGTAGATTTTGATAGATTTGGATAGATTTGGGAGGATCTCCCATTTTCGGAATACCCTGCCCGTTCAGTTTATTGAATGAATCCTTCCAGTCAGAGGGATGGAACATTGGAAGTTAGTGCTGATCACAACAGAAACACCTGTCGCATCCGTAAAATCATCGTTTCTACCGATGAGATTCTTAGATCCCAAAGCTCTCTTGGTTCAATCCTCATGTGTTTAATATTTACCGTTATTTAACATAGCCATGGAAAATGGCCCATAGAAATAGATGGTTTACCTATTGAAAATGGTGATTTTCCATGGCTATGTTAAATAACCAGATGGTAAATCCTATTGTTTCTTGGTGAAATCCCCATGCTACCCATGTTCCGCAACGTTGAATCCCCACGTTTCTTCCGCAACTTCCCCACCTTTTGGAGCGCTTGAGCCACCTCCTCTGGCCGTCGATCTGCCAATCTCCTAGGCACCCATGACTGGATGAGAAATGAGGCTATCATACTTAGGATTGGAAACCTCCATATGCCATTCTAATATAATATAATATAATATTATAAATATAAATATAATATAATATAATATAATGTAATACAATACAATATAATATAATATAATATGTATATAGCCATAGTTGTAAGGCTTATATCAATACTTCTGCGGTTAAAATCCCATAGTTATAGCCATAACACCAACTGCGCCCCCCCAGTTGGGATGTATAAATCGTATAAAGATGTTTAATATGTACCCTCTGGTAATTTAACATAGCTATTGAAAATGGCCAGTTATAGTGGATTTTCCCATTAAAAATTGTGATTTTCCATTGCTATGTTAGTTTACCAGAGGGTATTTATCATTTTAAAAAGATAGGGGTTATGACACAGATCCCCATCATGCCCACCTCAGCACATCGACAAGCGAATGCCGTGGCAGGGCGCTCAAGGCCGCCAAAATGGCCTGGCAGAGCGATATCGGGTCCATGGGGTCCCAAGTGAAGGTGAGATATCCATGGGGAAAAGTGGGAAAAAAAACCAGCTCTATCTGGCTGAATTATAAAAAATCCATCGAAAATCCGCTGCTGCTGAAGCCATTTGGGCCATTTGGGGATGATTTCCCTTACGAAGCATCATTCCAGTGACTAAAACTGTAATTCATCCAGACTATATCCATAGAGATGGGATATCGTCCACTATGGGTCTGTACAATGATTGACATACTGTAATATGTAACAATAATTAACAATGTGTATGTATGTCTACTGCTATATCCATGGTACTGGGCGTATCATCCGTGCATTCACTGAATCAAAAAACAAAAACCAACCAAAACTAGGGATTTTTAGTGGGGAGCCTTTTTCATTAGTACCATCTGGTTATTTAACATAGCCATGGAAAATCCTCATTTTTAATAGGTAAACTTTAGCTAAACCATCTATAAATGGGCCATTTTCCATGGCTATGTTAAATAACCAGAGGGTAGATTTCTTAGTGCAAAAATTTGGTGGAATACCAGTGACCGACTCAGTGACATTCCCCGTGGTCCGCTTCCCCAGCCGCGCCTCATCGAACTGACCAGCGACACGTGTCGCAGTAGCAGACTCGAACTGCCTCGCCGGAGTGAGACCATCGATGCCCCCACAAAATGGGCATAGTGACCCCAATGAAAAGATGAAACTAGGGGGGGCTCCCAAAAAAAAGCTAGGGGAAATGACAACGACTCAGTGAAAAACCAAGTGAACAGCCAGGCCTGCCGACATTTCGCTCCTGCAAAGTTTGTATCACTCAGCTGCACCCTTTCGTCAGAATGCAACGATGCTCGTAATGCCGCATGCTTGTTGATGCCACTTCTTGGGAGAGATGGCCAATGTTTTGCAAGATCAAAATTGAATGTGTACCAGCCTCCCAGCTGCAGATCACAACTACGTATGTATATAATACCTCTTTACTCATTCTTCACCTATGAAAGTATCTTTGACAGCCGTTTACCGCCAGTTTTCACCCTGGATTCCTGTCAACGTCAGGTCACCGTATTTCACCCCTTGTCCCTCTGTCCTTCCAGTTTGGTTCCGGCGTTGTCTCTTGGGATCGAGGCTCTTTCACCTTGCTTCAGATTCTGCAGTGAAGAATATGGTGTTTTGCCATTGGGCCGTGATAGTTTTTTCCGAAATGATGTATATGTAAATATATATATATATACATATATATATATACATATATATATATACATATATATATACATATACATATATATATACATATACATATATATATACATATACATATATATATCGAAAAGTTCATTTTTTTTGTGCGGAGAATGATGATTTTCAATGATTTACAATTGGACTTTGGGATAAAGACCCATTTGTTGGACAAACCCAGGTGTTGTTTCACGCATTACTTATCACTGTACGGACTTTTTCCATCAGAAGATTTCTGGATGATGCTGAAACCCCTGGAAACTCCTTTGTCCATCCTGTTTGAACCTTAGAAACATCTTAAGCCGCCTACTTTGTAGCCACAAACACATTAGCCCAGCTTTGCAACCCAACAGTGAAAGGTTCCAACAAGGTTCCAGGACTGTTCCGGTTTTTCGGGGCGCGCATTTTCGTGTCACCAGTCCCCGGCCCCAGAGATTGAAACCCAACAGATTCGCTGTTGGGAATTAGAAAAAGTGTGGTCTCAACATGCAGCCAAAGCCGATAGCACCCTAAGCGCTTCCTAACCAGTCCCTTAGGTCTGTGTGGCTCCCACAGGCCACCACACCGGCCAGGCATGCGCCTGTGAGGGCGAACGAGAAGTTGATGTCACCTGCACTTTTCATTGGTCGAGGGATGTTCATCCGAGTTCATCCCTCAGTAAATGGATGCCAATGTGTTGGAGTATTTTGTTGGTGTCATATTCCGATATGTAACATATATTTACCCTGCAATAAGTGCATGTACCCTCTGGTAATCAAACATGCTTTGCCGGAAAATCCACCGTTTAGTATGTTTAGTTCGATAATGTTCCAGGCTATGAGCCTCCATTTAGTTCAGGGGATTTCCAAACCATGTTTGATTGCCCATTTTACTCATTATAAATGCATATAAATGCACATGATATCCCGATCATGCCACCATTATACCACCACGATTGATGGTTAAACCACAACTAATCCCCCTTCTTGTTGCTTGAAGCCAATTTCTTCACCATGTTTGTTGTGTGAATTCCACTTGTTCGCCATTGTTGTTGGTTAAATCCTAATGTTTCACCATGTTTTTTGCTGGTTAACAATGGGCATCTTTGCCACTGATCTGGAGACCTCATCGTTTCGGATATCTCCCGTGTCGGCCGGCCCCTTGGCCCCTTGGGCCGCGGCAGGCCAGGGCGCATCCATGCGTTCCGCACTCCTGGGATGGTTTGTAAGTGACCAACCATTCCCATTATGGGTTAATGATTGGGTAATACCATGTAATACCCCTAGAAATGGGATGATGTTCTTTTTTTGTTCAGCATGTCTGAAAAACTTTGGGATAAGTTTGAGGCATTCATCCTCCCTGTCCCAAAGATAAAAAAAGAGCAGAAAAGCCACCAAGAATCACCCATAGTCACCCTTCGCTCCATCCCCTCGCTCCTCTGAGCAGGACTTGTCTGCGGGGTCAACCAATCTTGTGGAAAATCAAACGCACCCGCTGGGTTGGATCCTGGCAATGGAAAAACTTGGAGTGGTTTTATTCTGATAATATTTCTGATAATATATGATAATATCATACCCGGAACCACTCCAAGAATCCCTTGTCAGAACCCCACCTGTTGTCACCTGTTGTCCTCTTGGAATCGGGGTCAATGAGACAGCTCAGCTGGCCCCAGGTCTTGCAACCACTCACCACACCGCCTGAAAATGTTCTAGATTCAGTCAGAAAATCATTTTCCAAAATCCTTGGGCAGGTTCATGTTCCATTCAAGGGGCTGCCTGACAGCCTACCCCGACAACTCGAAAATTCTCCTATATTTCAGGATGCGTTCCTTATTTTTGTAGCTTTCCATTGAAAAAAACATGAATTGCCACGCCAGATCTGGTTGCATGCCACATCAATCGGTACCAAAAGCAACATTTCAGGACCTGAAAAACATCATATGGACCTGTTGCTAACATTGCAGTGGCAAATGTTGAACAACATCTGGAAAGAGAATGATGATTTACAATTACCCTCTGGTAATTTAACGTAGCTATTGAAAATGGCCATTAATAGTGGATTGTCCCATTAAAAATGGTGATTTTCCATAGCTATGTTAGTTTACCAGAGGGTAGACTGTGATCCAATGCAATGGGAGTCTAAATACGTGTGGGTGTATAAATGTATTTGCGCCCACCGAGCCACTGAATGCACTAAGGCCAACGAAGTTTCGATCATCTACTTGGAAGTTGACGGAAAGAAACCGCCAGGACGTGAGTCCAATACTACTTCAAAGGTCGCTATGCCGGTGTCAGCAATATCCACAATAAAGCAATTTCCACAGGTTTCCGTAGCCTGTTTCCATGCTGTTTTTGGAATTTTGAAAGATTTAAACCCTGTGCCCCCAATGAACAACAACCCCAACCCCCCCAATTGACAACCGCCCCCGCCGCCTGACTCCTTTCGCCGGCTGCGTCTCTTTTCTGGGGGCGATCGCTCCAACGGACTGTCGCCAACAACCTCCAGGAAGCTGGGACTGTGGCTATGCACCCCGGACACTTCATGGGTGATATCAAGTGATATCCAATACACATCTATGGGAGGTAGAAGATTCAGTACTCTGGTGCAAAATGGTGCAAATACATCAACTGGACGAAAGAGCTTGCGCGACAGTTGAAAGTCAGAAAGATATCAGTCTCTTGTGGGATTGAGAAGATATCAGTTATCCGATTGATTGTCAGTTTATAAATCATTGATTATCACATAATCATATGATTCTGAATATCCCCTGGTTCTATTTTTGTTGCCAACAGATATCAAGTCTCCCTGTGTCAACTCCTTCCGTCCCACCTCAGCCAACGGTTTTTCCCGTCTTAGCTGATCCTGCAACAAAGCCTTCACCTCAGGGCGGCTTTCAAGGAGAGCCACATGGGGTACCGGGCCATCTATCAGCGGAAAACAAAACATGTAAAAAAATGCGAAGATCAATCCAAGAATCCAATTTTGGGATATTTTGGGAATTAAGACTTCAAAATTTCGGGGGCTGTTTCCAATTTCCTGTTTCAAATTCTGATGTTCACTTTTTGTTTCCAGGTTTGCCCGAGGTATCAAACTTTGTCAAACCATCCTATTTTGAAGAGATGCAAGCCTGACTCATCCCTATGTGGGCATCGCGACATCGCTCATTCCTTGAACCCCAATAGAGGATGCGCCAGGGCCAAATGTGGCTAAACTGTTTGTTGCCCTTGTCATGTTTTCCAGACCAAAGTCGCCAGTCCACGTTGGCGATCCCCGAATGGCTAACGTGGAATGCTTCACCGCTTCACGGTTTCACAAGCCCAGTTCGACCCAGCTGTTCTGACGGCTCCAAGTGTCACACGTTGGCAGCTTGCGTTTCTGCCTCACAACTCCATAACATTCCATAACTAGTTTGCCATAGTTTGGCCCTTCCCATGAATGTTTTAGGCACAACAGGGAAGACAACTTCCATCACCAGGGCATCGCAAAAAACAAAACAGCCCGCCTCTGTGCGACTCCATGGTTGGTGCTTGTCCCCCTGGCGAACCGCTACCACAACACAACTGGAGCTCCCAGGAAATCCGCCACAGCACTGGCAATCACCAGCATTCTTGATCATCCTACCGAGGTTCTGAAGCTGCAATAATTGCCATGTTGGACCATGGTGCAGTTCCCATTCCACCGCAACCGGAGCCAGGCTCACCACCATGGCCGGCCGGTCGTTCTTCTCGTTGGGTCCAGTCCAAATCTGCAGGGCTTGGACCAGGGGAATGTCTGGAGAAAACGGAGGTCCTGAAGCATCTTTAAAAATTATTCTGTATGTATCACTTATCACATTGTAATCAATTGTAATCATATGTATCTGTGTGTGTGTACATGTATACATGTATGTATTTTTACATGTATGTATACATGTATGTATGTATGTATGTATGTATGTATGTATGTATGTATGTATGTATGTATGTATGTATGTATGTATGTATGTATGTATGTATGTATGTATGTATGTATGTATGTATGTATGTATGTATGTATGTATGTATGTATGTATGTATGTATGTATGTATGTATGTATGTATGTATGTATGTATGTATGTATGTATGTATGTATGTATGTATGTATGTATGTATGTATGTATGTATGTATGTATGTATGTATGTATGTATGTATGTATGTATGTATGTATGTATGTATGTGCTTCGTGCATCTCTCAGATTGGAAAATTGACACTGCAACTTTATCTCCATCAAATTGGACATCATTTGACGATATATGACATAGAGGTTTCCTATATCCCCAAATCATCCATTTTAGTAGGTTTTTCCATTATAAACCAGACATGTTGGGGCCCATTTCAGGAAACCTCCATATGAATATACATCCCACCGCGAGGCCATGTGGCACCTGATCATCATTAAAGAGGTCCGTTTGCTCCTGGCAGACATCGTGCGTCACGGGGTGAGTGACTGTGGTACTTCCAAGACTTCAGCCCAACATCTGCCAACATCTATCCAACATCTATCCAACATCTATCCAACATCTATCCAACATCTATCCAACATCTGCTATTCACAACATGTTTTCATGGTCTTTCTGAATTGTCCGACCCTGTAATCAAACATGGCGAGTTTCAGCACCCCAAACCATCACTGGGATCATACCATATCCCGCCTGGTACATCTCGTTGCGGGAGAAGAGGTTGGAGACACGGGCCATCTGGGAGCAGCACTGGGCCATCTGTGCTGCTATGGATGTTGAAGATATATGTTGAAAGTATATCAGGGATCATTTCTACTGCCCCAGCTCCAAAGAAATGAACTGTTCTTTGGCTCTAATTTGGTTCAAATTTAAATCATTCTCTCTCGAACCTATCTTTAGGAAAAAAATGAGTGATGGCCAAACGCCAATTTCCGAAACGCCAAACGCCTCGTCTTTTCGTCTTTTAATCGCCCCAGACTGCCCCATTGCCCCATTGCACCAGCCAGCTGAGTATCCCAAGCTGAAGTGGACACGCTGCTGAACATCTTCGGAGCGCTCATACCTGACATCATGCGGTAAGGCGGTGGTTTAAAAAATGCCAAAAATCACCATAGCATCATGGGTGGTTTATGAAAACCATCCCCATTTGTGGTAGTTGTGAATATGGCAGCCAGGCTTTCTCCACTAAAGCAGGGGGATTGACCTCAAACATGATTAAAGTCCAAATGTCGCGAGAATATACACAGTTTCTTAGCACCCAAAGATACCCAAAGCACGACTTCTCCAGCACCCAAATTCACCGGCGCCTCCAACGCTACGGAGGCAAAGAGCGCCCCGGGCGGCGGTCACCGAAAGCTCTGAAGCCAGGCCAGATAGGTTCCATCCAAATCTCTGGATCATCTAAAATCTAACAGAACCTGCTTTGAGATCATCGTTTTTTTTCAATATATAAAATCTTCAAATGATTTGGTTCAGCTGCTTGGCTGCAAAGTGTAGGCCATCTTGCAAAGTACAATTATGTTGGGCAAGATTCGCAATGTTCATGTTGTTGCTGAGCAACAACCCCAAAACAAAAAACTGCATGGAGACCTTTTCAGCCCGCTGCGCTGAAATTCACTGCGTCGTTCAAGGCCTCAGCTGGTGCTGCCAGCTGAAAGCCTGCGACAGTGTGATGTTGAAGAGACCAAATACGTCTCCAGATGACACCATTCTGGCAGTGCCCCACCTTCAAGGTGGTTCAGGGCTGAGTTGCCGGCGCGCACGTGTTCAGCAAGCTCAAGCGTCAGAGTTGTTGAGTGCCTCAAGTATCAGCCAAGGGAATCGCCAGGGCAATTGGCTTCCATCCCTAAAGTGAACTACCGACCTAGTAATGTTGTCTAGCCAATGGTGATATCTCGGCAATAGTAGTAGAAACCTTTTTTCCCAACTCCAGTTTTATCTCCAATACTAAAAGTCAATTAGCTTAATTTAATTTTATTATTGCCAAGAAACTCATGTTCTGACCTTGTCCAGAGGGCATGGCCAATAGTGGACCCAACATGGCAATAGTGGAAACTTTTTTTCCCAACTCTAGGTTTATCTCCAATACTAAATTAGCCTAATTTAATTTTATTATTGCCAAAAAACTAATGTTCTGACCTTGTCCAGAGGGCATGGTATAGTATCCAGCCATAGGGTTCCAGGAATTTACTATTGGAATGCTGACCCTCCCCCCCTATTTAAAAAAAAAAATACAAAAAATTAGGGGGGGTTATTATTAGGCAGCCAACATTAGTATGAAATGCCACCAAATATAGCCATGGGTCAAGTCCTCATTAGCCTCACAAGTAAACACATCACTGCAATGTCCATCTACACTTTTTTTCAGTGCTAAGTATAGGGTGCCCGATGAAAACACTAGCACCAAGCGCACGGCAAAGCAACGCCGGGAACACTCCAAAAATCTCCAAATCACACAGCCACACTCGGCCACACTGAGTTGTTGGCTGCCCGCTGTTTACAGCAACGTCGTAGGGCGTACCTGCGCAAGGACGAGAATCGGCCAAGTACAGAGTCTACTTTGGCAAACCAATAGCTTTGATTAGCTTTGTCTGCAAATTGGGTCCTAAATTCTCTGGTTTATCATCATACCAATGTCATATCATCATCTTTGATATTAAAATATATAGCCATGCTTGGGGTCTCTCCCCACGGACACCATCAGGTGATCGTTGATCAGGCACAGCCTCAGCTGGTCGGGATCCCTCACCCGGGAAAGGCATTGATCCCAAAATATCCAAAAATCCAGAAGAAAACATTGAACATGGAAAAAAAACATGATAAATAATTCGATAAATAAATACACCAATTATAACCATATATAAACAATACACAATAATACTGCATACTGTAACAATGAGTGAAATCCATCCAAATATGTCCAGGGCTCATTGCAACCAGGCAACTCCCGCAGCCACCAGAAGATTCATGGCATCCAAGCGACCTGAATGGGGGCTAGAAACCTTGCATGACTGGTCCCATTGGGTTCGACCTCGAATGGATGATAAGTCGCTAGCTTTTGCCCATTGATTTGCCACCCAAATGGAGCCCCATTCGTATCTGCTAATGTCGTTAGTCGTTTCGGCCAGATCTTGTTTCCATACAACAAGCTTCCGTTAGTGTTCGTTAATTCACCAACGGCCCCCCACCCATTTGAAACAAGTCATTGTGGCAGATGTGCGGATCAACTTGTTTGGACGAAATGTTCGATCTGGATCCATTCAAGACCGTGGGGAAGCCTCGCGTGTTCGACCCATCTCGACTTGTTTGCACCCCTGGCCACCACACCAGCACCGGCCGCCACATGCAGCGGAGCCCAGCCGTGGTCGTCCAGTGCGTTCACATCAGCGCCGCCCTGAAGCAACCTCCTGGTACGGGTTGAGGATCTTCAAGGTTGGGAATATCTGGTACACTGGCATTATTTATTATTTGCATTTATTTACACATGCCCAAGATGCTCTATATCTGCGTTTTTCCAAAAATTGGGAATACCCCAGTTTATGGTAACTTCTAGTCGGAAAAAATGATAGTCAACCATGAGATTTTCTGGGTTTCCCCTAGTTTTCCCCACCTCAGCATTTCCGTGTGGCCGTGCAAGGCCGCAAAGTGAAGTGCCTTAGTGGAGCATCTCTTGACCGCAAAGTTTGGATTTTGGGATGGGTCAAAATGGTCAAAGCCTATGACTATTACTGGCATTACCATCTTTGGGGGAAGAAACAGGGTGTTGACTCATAGCCCCTTTTTTTGGATTCTCGGATTGACATATTTGACATGGATTGGGCTGCTGGAAACTTCAGAAAATTCAGCTGAGTCGCCAGCAGTGGTTCCTGCTGGCGCTGTGTTGGACACATTGGCCCGCATCGCTACCAAGCGGTCAACTTCGTAGACCTGCCCCGTCAGTTTTAGGCTGGGATCCTTCATTTGAACGAAAGGACCAGGAGACTCGTGGTGGATCAAGATTTGATAGTCCAGATTGATAGCTGCAAAATCAACAAAAACGGTGGTCCCCATCTTCAAGTTTGATGACCATCTTAAGTCATGCTATTCCTGAAATTCCCCATTCCTTGCTGTTTTGTTTCCTCCGTTTCTTGCGAGTTCGTTACCTCATGTGTTGCTGACTAGTTCACCATGTGTGTTGCTTGTCTTCCTAACTTGGGTCGAACAAAATAATCATGTTTCCTGGATCAACAGATGGGTGTGTCCCAAAAATCGGAAACAATGCTCCACTTTAGTATATATGTATATATATATATTATTATATTATATTATATTATATTATATATTATATTATATTATATTATATTATATATTATATTATATATTATATTATATTATATATTATATTATATTATATATTTTATTATATTATATATTATATATTATATTATATTATATTATATATTATATTATATTATATATTATATATTATATTATATATTATATTATATATTATATTATATATTATATTATATATTATATATTATATTATATATTATATTATATATTATATTTTATATTATATTATATTATATTATATTATATATATTAGATTATATTATATATACTAGTATATATATATATATCTTATTGCCATTTAATGTGTCACTTCATGGCGAAAACGGATCTTTTTTTAAAGGTTTTTCCAACATCTTCAGCCAAAGATGGCTCCTCGCCAGCCACTGCTGCTCTCAGGAGTTGGACACCTCAGGGTTCCATAAATGGGTGATCCCCGCTAGATGGTTTGTTTCATGGAAAATCCCAATCAAAAATGGATCATAACTGGGGGTACATGGGTACCCCCATAGATTGGAAACCTCCACATCGTTTGTTTATAGCTGCGAGAATCATCGAACTATAACGGGGCGACTTTTCCAGCCATGGAGCTGATTTTCATTTTGGGTCATAAAATCATGTTGTAACAATCCCAATTCAACCAAGGTAGATCCAGGTCGTGTAACCAAGTAGTTGTTTAATGAGGCTCAATTGGAGACGCAAAGAAAAAATATGAATGGTGAATCTGAATCGCAAAAGGCAATGAAGTGCATTAAAAGTGGGTGAAAACAGAAAGACGTGATTCACCTCAACTTTTATCCTCATGTGAGCTTTGAGTCCGAGAATTCTATGTGAGTCAAAATTGACTCTGCGGCCCTAGGGGAACTATGTGGAAAACAGTTGGCTTCCGGCTTCCCAACATGATCGACATATGACATATGGTGGATTTTCATGAATTTTCACACATCGGACCATCCAAGGCGAGCCGCCCTCTTCCTGCACCACCGGGATGTCACAGCACCGTGCCAAATCCCTTCGAGGCTCGCAGGGCCCAGGACATACCTCGCCAAATGATCAACACGTGTCGACCAGGAGCGGCTGGAGCGGCTGGAGCGGCTGGAGGCTTCAAGATCCCATCCCATCCCCCTCTTCGCAGCTCAAACCCCTGTGTTTGTTGTGTTACCTCTCCATTTTTTGTGGTGAATTGTCCCTTTGTTTGAGTGATTTGGTCAGTGCTGAGCTGGCAGGAGATATCACCATACCTTCGTGCGAAGGGCTATGACTTGAACAGTGGGCATCAAACTACATGATATGACCGATATGGCCTACCAAAATCTGGTTGGTGATTGAACCACCCTTGTGAAGGCTACTTGTCTGCCACTTTGAATATGTTGAATAATCCCAACCCAGACAAAACGCTTCCTCCTTGCACCCACAATCAACCTATTTTTGGGGACTCGGAACCACTGTGCTTCTTTTTGCTGCCAGGCGGCAACGTTGGGTAATCTCAAATATGATTGACACGCAAAGCTGCCGCAAAGTTGGTCACAGCATCGGTACACATCTGCCACCTCATCGCATTCCGCTTCGCCTCAGAGTCACAGGTGGAGAGCCATCTCTCAGCAAATCAACTCAAAAACATCCAGAAAATCTCCAGAAATGTCACAAAGATCACACCCATAAACACCCATAAACATTATCATGGATTCATAGATTATCAGTACCCTCTGGTAAACTAACATAGCTATGGAAAATCACTATTTTTAATGGGAAAATCCACTATAAATGGCCATTTTCAATAGCTATGTTAGTTTACCAGAGGGTATCAATAATTGCTGGATGCCAAGCCCATCACCTGAGACAGCGACAAAAAATGGACTCGGCGTTGGCTTTCGCTTGGTGCCCCTCGGGACAGGTCCAGTTGGCACAGTCCTGCTGAGCCAGCACCTGGGCACTGAAGCATCCAGCTATTGGGGTCTGAAACATAGCCATTTGGAAAACCACAGGGCGATGGTGGTAAAGTTGGTAAGTTCTTTGGGTTTCTTCTACAGGGTTTATAGTACATTCTGATCCTAGACTTCTGGGAAGGACCCAATATTCACCCATTTTCCCCATGAATCACTTCCAACAGCAAGCTGAGTGCGGAACTTGCCACAACAAGCCGAGGCTGAGAAGCCAAGATGTTGGACGCGCCATGATGCATCCAGCAAGAGAAACAGTGTGTGGTTATGAGACTGTTTGGTGGCTTCAACATGCTTCAACCTATCCCCAAATGTCCTGCAATGGGAATCATCCCATTCTTGCGATTGGACAATCCAGGATGACCAAGGGCAATGTTTGAAAGCACCAAACAGAACGGGTGCGAATAATGTTGGGTTGGAAGCCCCAAGAAAGGCGGGGGAGGATAGGAGCTGTTCTTCCATGTCTTATGGTCCAACTCCCTGATGATGCTTTTTTGGTGCCGAAGAACTTCTGCAGCCATGCCATCCTTGGACATTCTTCTCTTTAGTCAAGGAAAGCCTTGAGCCAGCACTGTTGGATGGAGCCCGGTGTCTAAGCTGTTGCCCTCGGCCAAGTGGTCAACCGAGTCAATCTAAATATCAATCTGAATATCAATATCATCCAAACTATCCAAACTTCCACAGTTGGAGCGGGGTCAGATTTCTGCACCTCCAAACGGGTGGTGCACCACGGTGAAACCTTTAGGGGGAGGCCATTTCACCCCTGCGAAGGCTTTGCTTCGAAGATGGCACCGTCACAGTAGCCACACGTTGGTGACACCGGCCCGGCGTCGTTGGCGGCTCATCCAAAAACGTCCAAAGTATAAGTCATGGGGGCATCTTCTGGTAATATGGGGTATATCTGGTAAAAGTATAGAAAGTTGAGAAAATGAATGAAAATGACTTAACATAGCATCAGTTGCCCATTCCCATGACCATTCGCCGGATGCGCTCCTCCTCTCTTCGCTCTTCGTCTTCCTTGTCCTGCATCAAAGAAATGTGGGAAAATGAGGTTTCCATAAATGGGAGTACCCCAAATGGATGGTTTATGATGGAAAATCCTATTAAAATTGATGATTTAGGGGTACCGCCATTTTAAAAAAAAAAACAAATGTTGATGGGCTCCAGGAGCTTCAATCCTGCACTCAAAATCCACTTTGTCTTCCCACAGAAATCTGCACTTTTCTTCCATTATATTGTATATATAATGGGCTTCAAGGCTGCCACCACCTAACGGGCGCCTGCGCAGCCTGGTCATCCTCCGATTCCTCTTCTTGCTCCTCCTCACCGACTGAGGAGCCAAAGTCATCCACATCTTCCTCCGAGCCCAAATCCGAGCTGGACTCTGAGTCGGAATCGCTGTTCTCGGTGGCCAACTTGGAGGCAGCCAGGACCTGACAGGTCCAAGGAGAAGGTGACTGGACCTTTTTGGGGTCTGTACTAACATGACCCAACAATCAGGGTGAGATCTCATAAGATGATCAACAAGAGTGGGAACTCAGCCATACCCCCCATAAACAATGAATCAATGCCTTTCCCTGGACCTCGGTCACACCCCAGTGCCTCGGGTGAAAAGATGCGCTCTTCCAAGAACATGGAGCCCATCATCCCCTTCACACAACCAGCATCTCGCAAGGTGAGGAAGGCTTGTTCCCCAACCTGTCTTTCAGGATCCCTGATGGCTCGCGAGAGCAGCACCTGCGCACAGCGCGTGGAAGTCTTGGGAAGGGGAACAAACATCTGAAAAACTTCTGTAAAATGCTGGAATACCTCTGGAATAAGGATCCACTGAAACGAAACTCCTGACCCTAACCCATCCGCACATTCTGCTTTCCAGCAGCCGCCTCCTGTTCGTAAACGATTTGTGGCCCCATGGATTCCAGTGCCAACACTGCCAGATGTCTCAGGGTGGGATCACTGCCTGTGAAGGGAGCCACAACTCCATCAATGGTGGTGAAAGGAAGCCTAGTCACGGTCACACTCACGTGTACAGAAAGTAGGGATGGTTCCAGCAGAAATAGAAGCAGTTTTCCATCCAAGGTCTGCATGTTGAACTTACACTAAAGCCTCAAAAAGCAAACAGTTAGAGTATGGATGCGTCAATGTGTGTATCAAGAACCAGTGTACCATGGTACACCCAGAATGACCGTCTCATTCGGGAAAATGAGGACAGACCACTGACAACTAAAATGAAAAGCGTCATATCACTCAAACCACCCATGGCAATCCACAAGTGCTTCATAACCCTGCGCTAGCAAAGTCCCCCAAGCTGGCTTCTTCCATATTCAACCCAAAAAAAAAGGCTCACATGTGTAAAGAAACCAAACCCTATGATTTTTCGTACGAAGTTCCATCTTTATAGTAACTTCCAACCAACCAATCAACCAACCAACCAACCAACCACCCGTTGCCAACCAACTGCCTGGCAGTGGTCGCAAGTGGTGCGCCACCGCCTTGCTGCAGTGCGACGCCACGCTGTTGCCGATCACCGCGATGGTCTCCATGGCGAAGCGACGCATCTCCGCAGAGCCCGAGGCCAGGACCTGAGGGTCCGAAGTGGGAGAAAAATGTGCAGAAACTAATTTTAAACATGTTGAGTGTTTGGAAACAAATGTTCAGAAAATGTTTGGAAACCATTGGAAGCCTCTACTGATTCTAGTTGACGTATGTTGACCTGCTGTTTTTGATGAGAGGCATGCGACGATCAAGTCTCGTAGATTCAACAGTTTTCATCAGATCTCATCCCGTCCCAAACATCTGACCAACCATCCAACACAGGTGCTGAGCCTTCTTCAAGGCAGGCCCTGCAATGTCTCCATCCATCTCTGGACCCATCCGTTTCATGCACTTCATGGCAGACACCTTGGTCAGGCGTTAAAGCAGCGGCCTATCTTGACATGTATAGAGGATTCAATGCCCTGGTTACCTGACGCCAGTGCTTCAAATTGAAGACGATAAAAGGCTTGATTTAGTCCAGAATACAGTACGAAGCACGAGATCTGACGCCTCCTAATAATACTCAGAAACAAGATTCTAAGAATGACAAGAGAAATGCCAAAGAATCACCTCACATTTAAGGTGGTAGAATGGGATGTCAAAATCTGGGACTCCCAAAGTCCACCAAAAGTGGTTCATTGAATCCGGGGTGCACGGGGTACCCACCGGGCCTGCACATCAGTGTCCTCGTCCTGGCAAGCCTTTGCAATCGCCGCACCTGCCAAAGATGAACAACGCCCAACACATGGAAAAATCGCCAACCAACAAATCACGCAGCTCTTGCCATCAAAAGCTACAAAAACACCACCAGTGTCCCCAAGACTCATGTATCCCACCTGCCGGTTGCGCCGCATCGGGCCCAAACATCGTCAGCGTCAACAGCGCCTGGCGCCTCAGCCGTGCGTCCTCGTCCGTGGTGGCGCGCTCCGCCACGGCGGTGGCGGCCTCGGGCGCGGCCTCGGGGCCCAGGTACCCCAGCGCCACCAGCGCCTCGTAGCGTAGGTCGCTGCCCGCGTTGCTCAGCACCCGCGTCAGGGCTGCGGAGGCATAGGGCGCCGCACGGTGACCCATGATGCCCAAACAACGGCTGGCGCTGATGCAAGCGAGGCCTCAACAAATGGACAAATTGTTGAATCTATACAGATTGGCAATGTCAATACCGCGATATTGTCTGGCTGACTTTTTGATACTTGATGCACAGCCAAGTTGTGAATTCTGAAGAAAACTCCCACCGCACAGGCTTCGAGACCACCGAAGTACTGTAAGGTGCACATGGGGGACCACAGATTCGCTCAATCCACAACCATTTGAAGCGGATTGCAGCTCCACATCTATTTTCCAGCTATCTTACTCCCTCCCCACCAGTCCCATTTTTCACCAAGGTGCGATCCGGCATGCTGCGAAAGAACAGGGTGGCCAGGACCTGCGCAGGATGCACTTCCATGTGCTCCGGCAGAAAGGCATCGTCCGCGATGTACGCCGACATGGCTTCGGCTGCCTTGATACGTTTCTTGGGGTCGTCGTTGTTCAAATGTTCTACCAACATCTCCACATGGTCGATCATCTCCTGCCAAGCACAGTTATAGCATGGTACAACCCCAATCCCAATTTTGATTCGATGATTTCACCCCATCTTCCCTGATTTTGGCTGGAAATGGCTGTAACCCTACTGTAACCTTCAAAATAAGCTGTGTTTAGCACCTGTCAAACTGCCAGAGCCCCCCCACTGTACCATTAAAAGAACGTCCCAGAAGATCAACATGCACTGGGGCCATCCTGGTCCGTCAGGTTCGCCACCGTGCCGCCGGGTGGGCCTGAAATGCGAAGTTCGAAATCCCCAGTCGATATGGGCAAAGTGAATCATCATGATGTGGGGATGAATGATACTTACAGTGTGTACCAGTAGTGCCGGACAAGGCGGCGGCGGAAGTTTCCAAGAAAGGACGCTGTAGGAGAGGTGGGTTGTTGTGATGCATGGATGGCAGAGCGAATCCACTGATGGACCGAAACGTGGTTGGAGTTGCGCTTTTTGGAGTGGTTGCAATGGTTGCAGCGGTCACCTCACCCACAACTGCTGGATGGAGCGTGGTGTAGTGCAGTTGTAGTTGTAGTTGCAGCGTAGTGGAGTTGTAGTTGTAGTGTAGTGTAATTAGCGTAGTGTAGTTGTAGTTGCAGTTGTGGCTGTGGTGTGGTGTAATGAGCGTAGTGTAATGTAATGTAGTGTAATGTAGTGTGCTGTAGTGCTGTGTTCTGTAGTGTAGTCTAGTGTGGTCTAGTGTAGTGTAGGTGTAGTTGTAGCTGTAGTTGTAGTTGTAGTTAGTGTAGTGTGGCGTAGCGTAGCGTAGTGTAATGGAATTAGCGTAGTGTAGTGAAATTAGCGTAATGTAGTGTAGTGTAATGTAGTGGCAGTGTAGTTGTAGCTGTAGTTGTAGCTGTATTGTAGTGTAATTGTGTAGCGTAGTGTTGTGTAATGTAGTGTAGTTGTAGTTGTAGCTGTAGTTGTAGTTGTTAGCTGTAGTTGCTGTCTAGTCGAGTGTAGTGTAATGTAATTAGCGTAGTGTAGTGTAGAGTAATGTAGTGGTAGTTGTAGTTGTAGCTGTAGCTGTAGTAGTAATAGTAGTTGTAGTTCTAGTTTTAGTTGTAGTGTAATTAGTTTAGTGTACTGCAATTAGTGTAGTGCACTGTAATTAGCGTAGTGTTGTGTAATTGGTATGGTGTAGTGTAATTAGTGTACTATAGCATAGCATATTGGCATATGTATTTGTAGTTGTAGTGGTAGGGTAGTTGTAGTTAGAGTTGCAGTTGTAGTTGTCTATCTATCTATCCATCCATCCATCTATGGATCTGTCTGTCTGCAAGTTTGAAAACGAAGCAATTCTGCGAGACTTCCTCAACTTTTGAACTTGATAACGTCAAAAAGGAAGCAATTCTGCGACACTTCCTCAAATCTTGAAGTTGGCAACATCAAAACGAAGCAATTCTGCGAGACCTCCTCAATGTTTGAAGTTGGCAACATCAAAAACGAAACAATTCTGCGAGACTTCCTTTAATAATGGAAAGTTGAGTGCAGAGCTGACGGCCTCGTACCACTGCGTTTTGCGATTTTTCCAGTCCATGTCTCTGAAGTATTGCGCCTGCCACGAAAAAGTGACGCCGGGTCATACAAAGCGCTGAACCTGTCACACAAAATCATCTTCCCAAAACTGAAGATCTGATGTTCCAAAATGCAACCCTCTCAAGGAAATCAGCGCCCGGACCTCCTAACATCTCTGATGAACATGTCTCTTGCACTGCGCCTGCCACGGAAAATGCATCTTTGCAGATCCTATTCAAATGTCCCACGCCTGCCACCGTTTTTGGAAATGCTACAAAACTCCACGTTTTGCTTATTTTTGACAAGGTGCACAATCCCTTGCGCCTGCCACGCGAAACGACATCTGAACGTCCAAAAGTGCTCCGTACCTGTCAGTTTTTTGCACTTTTGACTGGAAAATTTCCCTCACAAGGGCGTGCACTTTTTCGACATGTCAATTTCCAAAAGTGGTCCGAGAATGGTGTGCTTGGTACATTTTGACTTGGAAATGTGCTTCGCGCCACAACGGCGTGGTGGTCCGAACGTGAGGTTTTTTTACATTTTGACTTCCAAACGTGCTTCGCGCCACAACGGCGTGCAATTTTTTATCTCGCATCTAGCCAGATGGCTCCACACCCGCCACTTTAGCGAGCCTACTCTTCGACCTTCCGGCGCAACAAATCATTGGAAAAACACAACGTTTCGCGACTTTTCTACCTTTTCCCGCACCTGCATCTTCTTTCTTCTGGCTCTTTCACTTCTCTGATCTTATCTCTTCTTCTCTTCTCTTCTCTGACTCTTCCCACCTCTGCTGTTCCGTCTGTCCACATTGTCGGAAGTTTGACTTCTAAATTTCCTTCGATTATGTAGGTGTATATGTATATATATATATATATTAGTGTGTAATGTATATGTGCAATATTTATATATATATATACGATACCGCTGGAATGATGATAATGAGATGGGCATAGGTGAATCATGGTCAATAGCGTGGACCTATGGGCCCATACAAGTTGGCGTATGAACATACATTTGCCTAGTTTGGCTGAGAAATGTAGGTACCAGGATTTTAATCCGTACCTTGGTATCATATCCAACAACCCTTGTTGGGCGTCACACTGGCCAACCCCTTCAAGTTGTTGATTGGTTTCCGGTATCTAGTGGCAAAAAAGGAAGGCTTGGATAGGAAAAAAAATAGGGTGTCCTGCATGAATTTATATGGCGAGAAAAGCATTGAAGTCCTGACTGGACTAGTGCATGCCGAGTGGCCGTAGCCAGGACGCTCGTAGTACTCTTCCAGCCATGTCTTTTGTTTGTCCTGATGCAAGAATTACAAGAGTGACCCATCATGTAAGAGAACGCGTTAGAGTGTCTGTGTGTGCCACAGTGTGTGCCGTTCTGGCTCCGAAACTCAAAATACCCAACTCACCAAAGAATTCTCGTCGGTCAAGGTTGGCGTTCGCCTTTGGTTGACTCCAAAGAGTGATGAATGCAAACACCGATTAGTGTGCAGAATAAAGTGACCCGGAAAGAATAAATTTCAGGACTAAACACGTCGTTTTTGGGGGTGTTCAAATGGCCCCAACTCTTCGTGGCCTGCTTCTGTTCTTTTTGCCGCGGCATGGCTCTGCCCACTTCACCCCTTGAAAGGTGTGGGTGCCTCCATGATGGTTTTTAATGTAAAAACACGTCTCATTTTGGATCTCAATGATAACCTTGCAGATCATACATCACAATGATGGGCCCCTACCAGATATAGAGAAACCGCATGCAGGTGAGGTCATCAGATCAAAGCTTGCTGAGGGGATTGGCCTATGTTACGTTTGTCTATCACCCAATTCAATCAAGCATTTCTCAGGTCCTCGAGTTGCTCATAGTTTACCAATTCAAAGAATATAGCCATGAAACAACTGATGGCGGGTAACTCTGATGATTGCAGTGGCAACTTATTGTGCTGTTGTGCGTCATGTTGGCTCTGAACAAGAAGTGGGACAGCCGTAGCCTCCTAGAACTGGGCAACAAGACATGGGTCGTTTTAAACCGACCTCCTTGACACCCAGCAGTGCGCCATTTTTAGATCGGATGTTGAAGGTCTAATGTTGGAAGATCTGGAAGTGGACACCCTCAAACCTGGAGGTAGATCTCAGAATCTCGGATTGATGTTTTTGTGGCCCAGTTGGCAGACATGCTGCATACGAATCCTCGCTTTCTTGGAACACCTTCCAGACGCTGGTAATGGTCCAAAGGTGGCCTTCAGATGGACATGGTAGTGTACTGTGCACAAGCGCACCCTTAGTCGAAAGATGTCGAAAGCTGCCCCCTGAGGTTTCTCTGCGGTTTTTCTCCCTTTTTTCCGCCAGCACATCTCCGTGTCTGCCTCGATCGCTTCCAACCTGCCGGAGTTGTCCCCAAAACAGTTGTTATGCACACCACAGTTGCCCCCGAATAGATTCCTTTTCGATGTTAACTTGCTGGCTACCAACCAAATCAGCTACCAAGTACGATGGAAACTCAAATTTCAGTCCGGCAAACTGGCCAAAATGTTCGATCCTATTTTGGGATCTGCCTGTCCTCACTGATCGTGTTCGAAGGTCCATAGGAAGCCTTGGTTGGAAGTGAACACACTCTGGGGGCGACGCAATGCCAAGTATCAAATTTCGATCAAATTTGGGACTAGCCTAGATTGACTACAACAACTATTTAGAAACCGATCATTCTAAAGATCCCTATTCGGGGAATTGGGTATGCCATTTTCAGACCCTTTGTTCCCATGGAACATCCCAACGCTGGGGAAGGGCTTTCAAAAAGTCGCTGCTCCCAGGTCCCAAGAACAATGATACCAAAATACAAGCAAAAATGGCTAGAATCTACTAGAATGATTTTGCTATGCTTCAGCAGAATGGAGAAATTTAGCATATCCATCTTTTGTAAAGATGACCCGTGTGCTGTATACCATTGTGGAGTGGCACAAGAAAACTTACTATGCAAATGACAAGCTCTTATGGCCAAGGAACAATATTTCGGAATGTTGTTTATGTTGTCTTGGGGAGGAAGCCACGGTTTTGTGGAGTCCCGATTTGAGAACAGCCAACAACCGAGATTATGTAGGCCGCACAAAACAAATTTGACTCCCAAGAACTGGGGTGGTCTATCACTCAAAATGAACAGTTTTTTGGGCCTGGCAATTGGCAACCCATGTTTGACATTGAAGCTGCCTGAAGCATGCAGCTGCACACACACACACAAGTTCCCTTTTCATCTGTCCACCAAATCGGTCTACTCGCCGAGCCTGCATGAAGCGCTAGCTTGTGCTTGCGCTGATGCGATGCTCATGAGGCTGCGCTTGAATTGATGCCGAGGATGCTCAGAAGAACTTCCGTGTGGCCTCACCATGGTCACCTTACTGCAGCTTGAGGGACCTGGAAACTTGGGCGACTGAGTAGCACTCATGTCATCTCATGTCCTCCTTAATTCTTTGTACCTCTGGTGTGACATGATTCCTTACATATATCTTCATGACTCAGTCTGGGCTGGATGGAAAATGTGTTCAAAGGAGAAAAAACAATGAGTCACCTTGAGACCTTGAGCAAGTCCAAGTCACACTGTTCATCCCATTTCCGTGCAGCACATGGTGCGATCCATGTACCATCTCAGAACCGATATGCGCTAAGAGGCCAGTCGACTGGAGAGCGTGGAATGCCTTCCGGTAGTGTTGATACTTGAAGACCTTGTTGGTGAAGTCATTCAGGATCCCTCGCAGTCGCTGGGTTGCAGATGGTGGTTCAGATTGAACTTTGGCTTCCATCGGCAAAGCTTGCTGGTCTTGTTTCTTCCTCTCCCTCTTGGCAGCGTGACGGTTCTTCTTCGCAGGCTGCACGTCCCACCGTTTGCTGATTTCCTCTTGCTCTTGCTTGATGCGACCCTCATAGGCTGCCAACTCAACGATTTCATTCACAATCTCGGACACCCAACAGACAGCAACATGATGACGCTGCAAGCACAGGAGTGCATCTCTGGCCAAACGCTTCCTTAGTTTCGCTCAAGATGTGGAGAAGACGCACCACACCAGAAACACGTGACTGACAATCTGAAAAAACCTTGGCAGGGAAACCCAGTATCTTACAATCCTACAAGAAGCAAACTCACCTGAGGCAAATCTAGGCTTCGCGTTGGCAATAAGATCGTCTTCGTCAACGACGGAAACCTCTTGAATCACATTTTCCTCTAGCTCAGACAGGTCTAATTCAACCTCCTCAAGTTTCTCGAAAAAGTAGCTGGCAGCCTCTTCCTGGTCTAAGAAGGGAAGCCCTGTTTGCATCACATTGTTTTGCATCCGCTGATCCCAATCATCAATGGCAGGAGGGAAAGTAAATGGAACCATGCCAGTTTGGAAGTCCAAGAAATGTCGGCTCAAGCCACATGGAATCTGATCTGCCAGTTCGAGGACCTGGTGCACATCATCCGGCGAGCTCAAAAAGACCACATTGCTGGACTCGTGGAACGGCAACTCTGGATGTGTCAAGCCCAAGTTTCGCCTCAAAAAAATCACGGGCCGTTTCTGTTGAGCCGCAGCCAGGTACCGTTGAACATCCTCGGCACTTGGGGCTGCAATGAACCATTGCAGTAGTTGTGCTGCGAAAGCTGGGCTGGCCGATCCAGCAGCCATGTCGATGTGTGGATGGACACATGAAATGATAATGTGAGCACCCTCACACAAGAATTCTGAGCCAGCAGCACCACTGTTCACAGAAGTCACAGTGATGGTGCTACGGTATCTGTCAGTGTTGGGCTTAGGGAAAATGAGATATTCTCGAGGCTCTGACACTTCAATGGTCTCACCAAGGTAAATGGGGATTGCAAGAAAGTGCAAGCCGCAGGAAACCACAAAAATGAACCTGTGCTCATCCAAGTGATACCTGCCGGGAGTCACAGCATTGGCACCCAAAAAATTGGCCACGAGTTGTAAGAGGATTGCTTGTGCAACACGAAATTCCGCATCACCACCTCGTTGGAGACTGTTGATCTCATTAGTTGTGTCCATCAGCCCGTGCGCGACAGAAAAGGCATCGGACATGAATTGAGGATTTTGATGCCCCGATTTCAGCTCTTGCACTGCATTGAATAGCACCTCAGGAGGGCGCCTTCTAAATTCAGTGCTTCGCAGAAACCTATCGTCGTTGCTGAAGGAAATCCCATACTCCTGACCCAAAACACTCTCGATCGAAGATGATCGCTTCTCCACCAGCTCTTTCATAAGTGGTCTTTTCATTTTCTTGAGGAAGTCGTTCAAGACTTTCATCATTTTGCTTGTCATGGGAGGGACAGTGCAGCTATGCTTCTGGTGATCTGGCAAACACAGCGCCATTGTGCAAAAGAAAGTGGCTTTGCGCTTGTGGATTAAAAAGGGAACTTCCAAATAAAATTGCACTAAACAGGCCAAACTGCTTTCGATTCTGCTGATGATACCAGGATGAACAAATGAAAGCTCCAAATTTAGAAGCAAACCCTCAACTTGCGCAGAAACATAAAACAACTAACTTGGCATATGGAGTGGATCAGGGTAATGGTGGTGTGGATCAGGCATATGGATCAAGATTTTGGTGCAGTGCATATCTAAAAAGTCAAGAATGGACAGAAGGTACTACCCTCCAGTCAAATTCATCGCAACGGGTCAATCAACAAACTGGAGATTTCCCATGGGGATTTCCCATTGCTGTGTGTAATTCGCAGGTATCACTTTCAGAGCTTCACCTGCCCATTTTTCAGATCCGATTTGGGTTTGAAAAATGGAATGCTCTCAGAACCATTGGTAGACTAATTTGTGGTTGCCAAAATTCTGAACACACCCTTTCTTTGTGGTTTGGTTTTGACCATTCGAGCCATAGCATCTTCTCTTGGATGCAAACACGCATTTTACAGGTTCTAGAGTTCCATACCCATTGTACAATCCTGAGACATTGCTGCAATTATGGTGATTTATAGGCATGCTTTTTCAATCTACCTACCGTACCTACCCATTGCTTATAAGTTTTTGCCTTGATGTTGTTTTTTGACGTAAAACATCCTAAAACTCCCTAAAACCCAGCGACTTTGAAGCTCTCAGGCCAGCACACTGGGCCGTCTAGCAGTCGATGCAACACCTCTAAGGGGCTGGGATTCACCGATTACAACTGGTTCCAAAATGGGACAGAATAGCATGGCATGGCATGAAGATCCAAAAGCCTTGCTTGGTTGTCGCCAATCATTTGCGACACGTTCCAGTTTGGCGTGTTTTTGTCGCCAGAATCATCCCAAAAAATCAAGAAAAAAACAACTAGCACTTCGTGCAGCACTCCAATTTATCCTTCCCAACACCAGGGACTCACAAAAAAAACACAAACGGCACCTTGTTCGAAGCTCCACAGGTTCCAACGTGAACAGCCCCACAGCTTGAGCATCGCCACTGCCACCGGAGATCAGAATCACCTTGCCTTCATCAAAATCCGCCGGGCAGCCATGGGCAAAAAAACGCCGAAATAGAATGCCTCCCAGCCAGGCTGCTAGAGACCAGAAAACAACTGCTTAGAGGAGGATCGCTGCGTCGCTGCTTGTTTCATGAAATAAAACAAACTAGAGTTTCACACCTTGGTGGTGTGCGGCTATGCCACTGAACTCCATATGTGAACAGACAAATGTGAAGAAACCTGGTCACCCCGAATCCCTCCAAATTCCACCTTCAGACGCTTCAGGAATTTCTCCCACCAGGTTTCATCGAAGCAAATGTGATAAGTTTCCACTGGATCGATGATCTTACACCTCGTCACCTTGCACTGGTACGCCCCAGAGGCGATGGCCATAGCTCCCTGCACCTGGTTTGCCGATAGCTTCCACATGATGGGTCAAAAGTCATGCGCGCATGAATATGTATATATATATGATGTGTGTCTGTGGGTTGTTGTTACTAGTATCATTAATGTTTACAATTGATACCAGTAGTGCCCGCACGAGGCGGGGCGGAAGTTGCCTTAGGGTTATACTATAATACCTTTTTCATCTATAGAACTTGCATGCGCAGTGCGCCAGCCAGGCCCGTGCGTGCGTGCTTTGTGCGACAGTAATGCACTGCTCCAAAGGTCGCACTTGAAACTCCACACTTCACACTGCACTCTTCACACTTTACACTTCGCACTTGCACTTCACACTCCACACTTCATCTCATTTCATCCTATCTGAGCTCTTCTCAACTCATCTTAGCTCTTCTGCACGTCAGAAAGTTTTTACTGTCAGAGGGAAGTCTCTTGCACACAAAAGCCGTTGCGCACAGAAAGCTTTTGCACAGAGAATTTTTACGCACAGAAGAATGAGACACAGATGCCTTTACACAGAAAAGCATTTACGCACAAAAAGTTTCTGCACATGAGAAGCTTTTACACACAGCACGCTTTACAGACATCTTTTACACACAGCAAGCTTTTACACACAGAAAGTTTTTGCACACAGAGTGCTTTTACACACGGCAAGTTTTTACACAAATCAAGCTTTTACGCACAGAAAGCATTTACACACAGCAAGTTTTTACACACAGCACGCTTTTACACAGAGAAACTTCTTTACGCAGAGAAGTTTTTACACAGAGAAACCTTTAGAGACAGATGCGTTTACATACGGGAGCTTTTGCACACAGAAGCTTTTACACGCAGAATCTCTTACACACGGAACCTTTTACGCACTAGTTCGCGCAAAACATTTCCCAGTACTACTTACTTTGTACTAAATCGCTTGGACAAAGTAATTCCCAGTACTACTTTGTACTACAAAGCTCGCAAAAAGTACATCCCAGTACCACTGTGTACTACAAAGTTTGCACGAAGTTCTTCCTAGTACTGCTTTGTACTAGAAAGCTTGCACAAAGTACTTCCCAGCACTACTTTGTACGACAAAGCTCGTACAAAATACTTCCCGGTACTACTTTGTACTACAAAGCTTGCACAAAACACTTCCCAGTACTACTTTGTACTACAAGACTTCCACAAAGCACTGCCCGGTACTACTTTGTACTACAGAGCTGGCACAAAGTACTTCCCAGTACTACTTTGTACTACAAAGCTCGCCCACTACTTTGCACTACAAGGCTCGCACACAAAATGCTTCCCAGTACTACTTCGTACTACAAAGCTTGCACAGAACACTTCCCAGTGCTTCTTGTACTACAAGACTTCCACACAGCACTTCCAGGTACTACTTTGTACTATAACAAAGCTTGCACAAATTACTTTCCACTACTACTTTGTACTACAGTTGGCACAAAGTACTTCCCAGTACTACTTTGTACTACAAAGCTTGCACAGGGTACTTCCCAGTACTACTTTGTACTACAAAGCTCGCACAAAATACTTCCCAGTACTACTTTGTACTACAAAGCATGCAGAAAGCACGTCCCAGTACTATTTTTTTGTACTTCAAAGCTTGCACAAAGCACGTCCCAGCACTACTTTGTACAACAAAGCTCTCACAAAATACTTCCCAGTACTACTTTGTACTTCAAAGCTTGCACAAAACACTTCCCAGTACTACTTTGTACTACAGTTTGCACAAAGTACTTCCCAGTACTACTTTGTACTACAAAGCTTGCCCACAGTATATACTTCCCAGTACTACTTGTACTACAAAGCTTGCACAGAGTATTTCCCAGTACTACTTTGTACTACAAAGCTTGCACCAAGCACTTCCCAGTACTACTTTGTACTACAAAGCTTGCACAGGGTACTTCCCAGCACTACTTTGTACTACAAAGCTTGCACAAAGCACGCCCCAGCACCACTTTGTACTACAAGACTTCCAGAAAGCACCTCCCGGTACTGATTTGTACAGAGCTTGCACAAATCACTTTCCACTACTACTTTGTACTACAAAGCTTGCGCACAACACTTCCCAGTACTACTTTGTACTACAAAGCTTGCACAAAGTACTTCCCAGTACTACTTTGTACTACAAAGCTTGCACAAAGTACTTCCCAGTACTACTTTGTACTACAAAGCTTGCACAGAGTATTTCCCAGTACTACTTTGTACTGCAAAGCTTGCACCAAGCACTTCCCAGTACTACTTTGTACTACAAAGCTTGCACAGGGTACTTCCCAGCACTACTTTGTACTACAAAGCTTGCACAAAGCACGCCCCAGCACCACTTTGTACTACAAGACTTCCAGAAAGCACCTCCCGGTACTACTTTGTACAGAGCTTGCACAAATCACTTTCCACCACTACTTTGTACTACAAAGCTTGCGCACAACACTTCCCAGTACTACTTTGTACTACAAAGCTTGCACAAAGTACTTCCCAGTACTACTTTGTACTACAAAGCTTGCCCACAGTATATACTTCCCAGTACTACTTGTACTACAAAGCTTGCACAAAGCACGTCGTTTGTACTACAACGCTTGCACAAAGTACTTCCCAACAGACATCAAACTTTCACACACAGCAAGCTTTTCCACACAGCATCTTTTACACACGGCAAACGTTTACGCAGAGAAACTTTGACACAAAGAAAGCCTTTACACACAGCAAGTTTTTAACATACAAAAGGCTTTTACACACAGCAAGCTTTTAGAGAAAGAAGTTTTACGCACAGAAGCTTTCTTGTACAGAATGGCAGCAGAAATTGCAGCTCCAAAACTGGATCTCGGCGCCAAAGCGAAAAAAGGACGATTTTGAAGCACTTTTCCCAAAAAAAAGAAAATCACCAGCGCCAAGATTGATAAAATCTACTGACAAGTCACTATCGCAACCTTGATGCAGCCACTGCAATACGTCCCAGCTGCAAAAGACAATAGCATTTCCTCCACAACACAACTCCCATGCAACATTCATGCAGCCATTACAATGTGTTTTGCAGCACCACGCACACATCCATGCCGCCATTACAATGCGCTTTGCATCCACGCGTTGCAGAACACCAAGGAGGAACCGATTACGCTCGAAACGATCGCAGCCGCACCCGCCGCGCACACAAGCTGCCCTTCATCGCCGGCTGCAGCCACTTTACACGAAAAACTTATATAATGTTTCGCGCTCCGGCTTCCTCCCCAACACAAGTTCCATGCAACATTCCTGCAGCCATTACAATGTGTTTTGAAGCACCATGCACACATCCATGCAGCCACTACAATGCGCTTTGCATCCACGCGTTGCAGAACACCAAGGAGGAACCGATTAGGCTCGAAACGATCGCAGCCGCACCCGCCGCGCACACAAGCTGCCCTTCGTCGCCAGCTGCAGCCACTTTACACGGAAAAGCACCAGGTTTCATGCTCCGGCTTCCTCCTCAACACAAGCCCCTGGCAACATTCATGCAGCCATTGCAAGAAGCACCACTGACACATCCATGAAGCAGCATCACT